TTTTAACTACGTCGTCGATTATTTCTACAGTGACTTGGTTTTATTTGTATTCTTTTATTAGTTATTTTTTATTTTTATTAGTTGAATATACATTATAAGTTGTTCGTTATTCTTTAATATATTTTTTTATATTCGAAGTTTGTACTTGAACTTCAAATTCGTATCTGACGAAGAGTTATCCATTGATAAATATTTGATATTAGATGAGTAAGTTGCGACTCTTTTAGAAACGTTTGAATTTTATCAGCAATTTAGTTGCGAATCTGATACGTAGGTATATTGCCACTGTTACGCGGACTTTTGGAAACATTGATAATGGTCTCCTACATAAAGCATGGAGATCCATACAGGTCGTCCAATATCAAAGCAGAAAACTTTTTGGTCAACCCAGTATATTGCCAACTCCAAGAATTTTCCGCTGCTGCAACTCTGTCCGTGGGAATATAACGAAAGTTTACTACGGTGCTTCTCAAACTTTTGTGGGCCACAACCCCTTTTCGACGACGGTCATTTTTCGCGCTCAATTCACTTGCGACGCATTATTTTACAAAGGTACGATTCAAAAATTCCAGAGTCATAAAAAATTTCGAAATCTTATGGTTATAGATTTCAATCAATCAAAGTCTTAATATTCTGAAATTAATAAAATCGGAGGTTTTAAAGTTTTGGTGTCTCAAGATCTTCAAAAGCTACAGTGTCATTTTCATAATTCAAAAATGTCAAAGTCTCTAAATTACAAAAATCAGAAACCTAACATTCTAAAATTAAGAAATTCAAAGGTTGTGAAGTTTTAATGTTGTAAGATCTCCAAAAGCTACAGTGTCGTAAAATTTCATAATTCAAAAATGTCAAAGTCTCTAAGTTACAAAAATCAGAAACCTAACATTCTAAAATTAAGAAATTCAAAGGTTGTGAAGTTATAATGTCGCAAGATCTCCAAAAGCTGCAGTGTCGTAAAATTTCATAATTCAAAAAAATCAAAGTCTCAAAGTTACAAAAGTTAGAAATCGTTAGAAGCCTAACATTCTAAAATTAATAAATTCAGAGGTTCTAAAGTTTTAATGTCTCAAGATCTCCAAAAGCTGCAGCATCAAAGTGTCATAATCCTGCAATCAAAGTTACTAAAGTCAGAAATCCAGAAGTTCAAAATTCCGACCTTTCAAAGTATCACGATATCAAAATTCCAAAGTCCAATACAGCGCCTTAAACACTAATTCGGAAGTTAAATGTTCCCAAATTTCGAACGTCTTAAAGTCCCTAAGTCTGAGACTTCAAAAGTTCTCGAATCCCAAAAGTCCAATATCTCAGAGTCCTAAATTCTCGAATTACCGAAGTTGGAAAGTTCTAAAGTACGAAAGTTGTGAAGCTCCCACGTCGAAAATGTTAATTTTTCATTTAAAATCAATCAGCGATCGGTAGATGCACGAACGTCTGACGAATGGAAACAATAGTCGATCTACCGCGTCAGTGCAAATACGTGGCTGTTCTACTTGGCCCGCGGAATCGAGGATCGTTCTACTCGAGCGCGAATTCGGCATCACTTTCTTTCGCTGTTCTTTCATTTCCCCGGATAAAACATGTTGAATAATACAGCAGCGGCGTTAATGCATTCTCCTTATGCTGGCTTAACACGTTCACCGCAATGACGTCGTTTGCAAACGACAGGGAACTTTTTGTTTGCGACGCGATAATGACCGGCATTATTTCCAACGAGTCAAACACATGTTTAAAAGAAACACTTACTATGTTATTATTTAACCGCGATCGATGTAAACTGTTGTGTCGTAATTATCCGTTAATTGACGAGGAACTAACGTTCGCGTTCTATATGAACGTTAAATCGAAAACAACGGTTTCTCGTGCAACGCTGACGTAACCGTTTTCAGCGATTACAATACGAAGTATTTTGAAAGGAGCTACCATTTATTTTGTAACACAGTGCAAGTTATTTAGCCGGAGAAAAGATAGCTCGGTTTCGCGTCACCGTGCGGCCATTCATCGTGTATTTTAACTCTGCCAGAACTTTCGAATTCCACGCAACATTATTCGATGGTTGAAAGTCGTTTGGCATTCGAGAGGCGTTGGAAGCGAACGAGCCGAAGCAACCCGTACGACGAGTTGCCAACGATAGCTGCGAGGCGTAAAAAGTTTTACCCAATAGCTGTTTTATCGAGCTCTTCCTTTTCCTCCGCTTCTTCTTCTTCTTCTTTTCCGTGCGCCGCTTCTTCGCGTATTTCGTGCACCTCGTATAAACTTACACGAAGTTGAAGCATCGACGATAAATTCAGAGAGAGGCTCCTCTCGATTCCCGCAGACAGCGTGCGCACGAATTTCTACGATGTTCGCGTTCCCGTGTCGTCGACGAATCTCTTTGACGTATTTTTCCATCAAATAACTTTCAAGCAGCAATAGTTTACGTACCTCGCGAGTATCCAAACACGAGCTGCTCTTTCGGTTACGTCGATAAATGATTACAGATGGAATACGTATTTGTGAGACAATTTTATTCTTTTTTTTTTTGGAGAATATTTTAGTAATAAAGCGGAATAACAGGTAACACGAAACACTGAAGTATTCATAGGAAGCGTGAACGTCAGAGCAGAGTTTTGAAGTGTTTAATCACCTCGTCAAGAATTACACGATTAAATTACAATGGATAATTAGGTACCTTCATAATGAGAAGTAAAATTTCCCTGTTAATTTAATGTATTTGCTAATTGAAAGTTAAAATCTAATTGTTAATTTGCACTCGTGAATTTGATGATTAATAATTAACTTTAATTAATGACTTTTATATGGAATCTGTTCGTGGAATCTCTTGATAAAATTAAGCTTTTCATTCTGTACATTATAATAGAATTAAAGAAGAGTATTTCGTGCATTATTATAATAATTTGATAAATTGGACCTTGAAGTTTTCATTCATCATCAGACAATTGATTGCAATTTATTTGTTAATTAAGCTTTAATTATATTTTGAACATTAATAAGTCTAAATTATAAATGATTAGCTGTTCGTGTCACAATTACGGAGTAATTACCGTTAGTATAACTGACTGAATTACTGCATTTAGTTTGCTAATCAAAGTCCAAAATTAGCAAAAATGGAGCAGTAATAAACTTCATTTCTACCGGTGGAATAAATAATAAGACTAAAGTTATAGGTCCCATTTACTCGTGTAAACCAATTAAGCAAGTAAAGTACTGAAACTAGGAGAAATGGGACAGGTTGGGCAAATTACTTGTACTATCATTAAGCCTAACTTAAGCTGCGAGCCTAATTTACATGGCAAAGTAAACGGAAGAATATATTAGCTTGCTGGGTATTTTTGTTAATTTTGCCTCTCGTAGGGTAAACAAATTTCCCCTGCTTCCATTTACTCGGGCAAACCTTAAAGCCTGTTTGCAATAACAATAAAGGTAACCGAGCATGTACGATAACCGTGTCGCTACGGAAAGTAGCAGCTGCGGGAAGAAACACGCGTTTTCTGTATTCTTAAGAAGACAGATCGGATGTGGGCCCTCAAGGTCGTTGGAACGAAGCCCACGTTACCATACTGATCCCACTTCGGATCCCTCGGTTCGGGATCCTCGCGGATTAGTATCCATTTCCCCGAGGCACACGATGGCTTGGCAGAAGCTACCCCGATAGGATTTATTCTGAAAGGGTGAAAGCGGCGGAAAAGAGAAAGAGAGGGCGAAAAGATCTCCTTGTATGGACGTCACGGATCCGAAATACGCTATATTCCCGCGATCCTTTTATTATTCCATCACGACGACGACGCCGGTATCCGTACAATGTAAATTCGGCCGGGATAACAAGGCAACGCGGTCAAAACGCCATTTTAATGTATTCTCTTTGGATGTAACAGGCGTTCGGCCACGGTAAGAGCGAACTTTGCCGGAGATTCGAGAAGAGACGAGGCAAACGATTTCATGCTTGCAGTAGCACGCCTACGTGAAAAACCTTTCGGCTTGTTGCGAATTTCCTAGGCGATAAAATCGCCTTCCTGACGACCTCGTTGAGTACCCATCGTCTTTTATGATCGTTAAATCGCACTCTACGGCGACTCTCGAGTGTCAATGATTGGTTCGACACGTTTTCAGTTTCGGCTGAGCTGGTACAAATACTGACTTATACTACTTGCTCAAAGACACTTTACGCTGTCACTTTTACACGATGTAATTACTATTATTCATTCTCATTATTATTATTGTCGTGGAACTTATGTAATGAATTATAGCAATGAAGGAAGTATTTTAATGTCGTGAAGTCTATAAAAAATCTTTTAAAATAAGACTTTAACTATCTGCTTTCCTTGACATCATTTCCTGAATCATAGTTTAATGCTGTTCTTAATAAGAGAAAAACCGTAAAATGGCCCTATATTTCAAGTGGTCCATATTCAAACCCTAGTAGACCACTTCCTCCACTTCATTATTAATTCCTAATAAAGCTCTCCAAAGTGGGCCGAGGCCTACTTCCCTAAATTGTAACTTTTTCTCTAATCTTTCAAACTTCTGAGACTTGCAGATTTAAAATCTCAAAACTCAGACATTTTTAAGTATTAAAATTATATATAAGTTCTAAAATTACATTGTTAACTTCCTGGATACATAAGGTTTCAACATTAAAAATTTCCTAAGTCCAACACCTGAAATATTTCAGAGTTCCAAAATTTTAAAGTCAACATCCCAATTTCCTAAATTCCAATCTGCCAGTTCCATTATTTCAAAGTTACTTTCAATCTTTACAACCTCCCAAAGTTTCAATCTTTCAAAGTTCCAATTTCCCAAAATTTTAAAGACCAAAAATTTAAGCATTCGTAAAACCCGATCTAAAAATTCCAAAGTCCGAAGTCGAAAAATTCCAAGCCCTGAAATTCTAAAAATTGGAAATTCCTAACGTCCTGAAATTCCAATCTCCCCAATACCAAGGGGTTAAAGAAGCCAGTTTCGCTGGCGTGCAGTCTTATCTGAAAATTGCTGGAATCTTTCAGGGGTGAGCACAAGATCCCATTCGTTGGTGAAGAGGTACGACGGGATTTACATGGGGCCGTACTTCGATTCAAACACCCCCACGAATATCACGGCTCAGCTGGGAAGTCATGCTTACTTGCCATGCAAAGTGCGACAGCTTGGTAATAAATCGGTAAGTCCATCACTTTTATTTTAAGTCGTAAGAAAATTCGAAGTATCCGCGGTAAAGCCAGGGATACTTATAACCTCTCTGCAATCGTTTCTTCGAGATATTTTCGAACGCACTCTCGATAAATTTCGGCGAACTCCGAGTGCAAAACGATTCTTGATAGTCTATTTTATATATATCGTTGAAGAATCCCGAAAACGTAGAAGGCAATTAATAATCCTTCAGTCTCAACGATATGTTCGAATTTCTGATGACTTCTAATTTTCCTGTCAGATAAGTGATATTTAACGAGCTCCTAAATAGCACACAAATAGACGTTTAACCATGGAAATAATCGTATCAGAAAATTAACGACTTCAATTTCGTTGTTGATATATTTGGAACGGTAATGTAAAGCCTGCTAATTTACCCGTCAGATCTGTCATTTGCGTTTCTAGATAGTGTAAAAATAAATGTAAATTTCTTACGAACCCTAGAAATAAACGTGTCAGAAAATTAACGAATTTTTCGTCCATAAAAAGTTACAGGAATCGTGCAAGTATAAAAATAGATGTAATCGTAAATCATCACTAATTGATAAGTTTTCAGGCAACAGTTGTTCGAAGCGTTTCCGAGTATCGCATAAATCGGCGAGGACGTAATGCAACCGCAGAAACACGCTCATTGCAGAGACCGCTAATTCCCGTAGCTCGTCGTTAATATATTTGCCGTATTTCCAGAAAATCTGGAATCGCTTGTAACTTTACAAACAACCCTTGTTCGAGACCCTTTTAAATGGGACAGAAATCGATGAAGAAGTCATGCAAGCCGCGGTGCTCGGCATAGAAATCACGAGTTCCTTAATTTCGTCGTCGATAGGAAAGCGTTCACGAAATTTTCGGAACTGCTATCACGTCCTCGTTCGTGGCAAAAAGCACGACCGGATAGCGGCGTCACCTGAGCGCCAGATAAAGCAGATTTATTTGCACGCGAATAGCCAGTTTTCTGAGTGAACCGGCATCGATGGTATCGCGCCGTTGGTTTCCATGAACCCGTTGATCCGCCATCAAAGAGTCGCTACTATCGGCCACCGTTTCCGTCGATATTTCGCACGAGATGCCCGTCCGGTTCACGCTATTACAATAATCGAAACGGTGGCCGATAAAACGGCGATCCCGATGCAACCTGACTCTATCTCCGATGCAATTTATGCTCGACTATAAAAGTCTAATCTGTCCGCGTTCGCGACCGTTAGAACGGATTATACGAGCCCCGCAAATTTTACGAGCAACGCTGGAGGTGTACGCTCCCCTGTGTATACCCGGCTCAACCTGACAGGGGGTTAATTCAACCCTTCCTCTCCTACCGTTTGTGCACGCTCAGGATTCATGCGCGTAAATATCAAGACACCTGGTAAGTCGGTGAATGCGGTGAAAACGCGAGCCCATGTGGACGAGAGAAGAACGGCAAAGTGTATCGGAAGCAACGGAAATGGACTCGTTGCGGATCAATGGTATTAGGGAAATGGATAGGGAGCATATTATGGGACCGCTGAAGTGGGCCATCGAGTGGACTGTAAGTGGATTAAGAGCGTTTTGGCTCAGAATGTGCGCAGCGAACGGATTCAGAGATGTGTTAACATTTGGTAATTTCGGAATTGCCTAACTTGAAAGCTGATCAACTGGAAACCGAGTGTTACCTTCTTTTCCGCATGGATATTCTCCCTACAAAAGCCTGCAGTAGAAGATGAAAATCAGAAAGTTAACAAATTGTCAAGTTTACATGTCCTTCCTCTTAAATTAAACCTACGACTCCATCAGATATGGACTACAAATGTAAATATTAAATATGTCTGAAACTCTGCAGTGCATCTTATCAGCGATCTCTTCATGTGCATAAAAAAAAAAGGCAGAAGTTGTAAATTCCGCAAACCGTGGTGGGTAACAAAGTGTTAACATAAACTGTCTCAACATATCAGGCACAGCTTCAAAGTTATCAAGACCGAGTTAAGGTGGCAGCCAAGGTGCAAACGGTTAATATACCAGTGCTATCGTACATATCGGAAGTGAAAAAGCATTTAATGCGGCGCATACAAAGCGTAGTGGGGCGAAAGAATAAGAGTGGGTTGCCCTTTGGGGACGCGGTAATAAAACTTTTTCGTATGTACACGGTACGTGTCGTTCGTTAGCGAACTTTTACCTCGATCGTATGTACAGCGTTGTGTACAACCATGTTGTACGTCGTAAGTGGCAGGACTAAGTGTCTGGTGACACGCGACCCTCGTATAGCGATCCCGATGCAACCTGACTCTATCTCCGATGCAATTTATGCTCGACTATAAAAGTCTAATCTGTCCGCGTTCGCGACCGTTAGAACGGATTATACGAGCCCCGCAAATTTTACGAGCAACGCTGGAGGTGTACGCTCCCCTGTGTATACCCGGCTCAACCTGACAGGGGGTTAATTCAACCCTTCCTCTCCTACCGTTTGTGCACGCTCAGGATTCATGCGCGTAAATATCAAGACACCTGGTAAGTCGGTGAATGCGGTGAAAACGCGAGCCCATGTGGACGAGAGAAGAACGGCAAAGTGTATCGGAAGCAACGGAAATGGACTCGTTGCGGATCAATGGTATTAGGGAAATGGATAGGGAGCATATTATGGGACCGCTGAAGTGGGCCATCGAGTGGACTGTAAGTGGATTAAGAGCGTTTTGGCTCAGAATGTGCGCAGCGAACGGATTCAGAGATGTGTTAACATTTGGTAATTTCGGAATTGCCTAACTTGAAAGCTGATCAACTGGAAACCGAGTGTTACCTTCTTTTCCGCATGGATATTCTCCCTACAAAAGCCTGCAGTAGAAGATGAAAATCAGAAAGTTAACAAATTGTCAAGTTTACATGTCCTTCCTCTTAAATTAAACCTACGACTCCATCAGATATGGACTACAAATGTAAATATTAAATATGTCTGAAACTCTGCAGTGCATCTTATCAGCGATCTCTTCATGTGCATAAAAAAAAAAGGCAGAAGTTGTAAATTCCGCAAACCGTGGTGGGTAACAAAGTGTTAACATAAACTGTCTCAACATATCAGGCACAGCTTCAAAGTTATCAAGACCGAGTTAAGGTGGCAGCCAAGGTGCAAACGGTTAATATACCAGTGCTATCGTACATATCGGAAGTGAAAAAGCATTTAATGCGGCGCATACAAAGCGTAGTGGGGCGAAAGAATAAGAGTGGGTTGCCCTTTGGGGACGCGGTAATAAAACTTTTTCGTATGTACACGGTACGTGTCGTTCGTTAGCGAACTTTTACCTCGATCGTATGTACAGCGTTGTGTACAACCATGTTGTACGTCGTAAGTGGCAGGACTAAGTGTCTGGTGACACGCGACCCTCGTATAATCGTCCGCTTGCGTACTAAAGGGTCGCGAACCCCCGAATCGACTCGCGGCGGCCCCCCCTCGTGCCCCGTTTGCCCCTGCCATACTTATCGCGCCCGGAATTAAACGTACTTCAACCGGTGACTTTCTGTCAACGGGAGAGCATTGTATCGTGCCTCGCCAACCCTCTGAACACGATCGAAAGCGATTTCGCGGAACGCTTGGTTGCCTCGATGACTTTTCATTTATTTCCTCGCGTTCCGTTTCCATTCCATTTTGTTCCGAGGAATGCGCCAAGGGAATATGTCGTGTCGCATCGGAGGGCTTGAATAATTATTCCACGTTCCTGGAACCGATCGACTCCCTCTTGGCGAACGATAGACCTCCCGGTAGGATGATTAATCCCTTTCGCTTCTTCGAACTATTCGGATGAAAAATTTATCGATGATTTTTGAAAATACGTACATTTGCATTCTCCGCATTCACCTACTTTTCGAGTTGCCTTTCTAATGTAAATTGAGAAGAAAATATATGTATAATATACAATATCGGTAATGACATATTATGTGACCTCATGTCGATTAAAGCTACGAATAAAAATATGTTTAAGTATTCCCGAAGAGGTCAAGATAATCAAGATAACAAAAAAGGTAATAGAATCTATTAAAGGAGTAGGTGCACGCCATCGGATAATGCAAGTGTTTTTCACTTCGAAATGCGAAATCAGCAATCGTTATCAAAAGGCAATTAGTAAAATGGCGTTCATCGATAAAGATAGTATATCATACAGCGTACTAGTATAATTTTCGAAAATTACACTCGCAAAGTTCTCCTCGATCTACAATCATCATTAATGATCATTTCACACTGGACTCGAACGAAGGTTCAATTAGTCCACTTCGTTGATTGCAACTTTCGTTACAAGTCGTCATTACACGTCGTGCGTGCTGAATTGACCTGGTGATACTTATCGCGTAAATAAATTGAACGTGCTGCTAATACGATTTCTTCGAAGCCGTGTCACAGAAAGAACGTTCGCGAAACCGATCGGGCCACGATAAATTAACCGTAGACAAGAGAAAGAAGATTGATCGAACGGGCTCGACTCGCTCTTTTTCCTCTCGGCCAGCTTTTTCCACGGTTTTTCAGCTTCCGTTTCCTGCCAGTGGCCAATGGGAGGAGCTCGCGAAAATCCGCCAGATACAGTTGAATTTCACTTCGTCTCGTGCAAACGTCTCTGTTCCTTTATTTCTCTTTTTTTGTTCGTCCTCGACGTGGAAGAAACGTCGACGCTCCGACGAGAAATCTGACAACGTAGCGAGTATCGGAGAAAGGATTAATAATTTTCACGAGATGTGCTCGCGGCAAAACGATCAACCGGATTATCCTCCCTTTTTTAGACCTAAATTGCTCGGACAAAAGTATAACTACATATTTCCCCGTTAGACTTAACGTTGTTCTGTACTACTGGAAAGCAAAATTTAATGAGTCTATTAATATTTTATTATATAATTCTGCATCGCGTTGTGTCTCATATCGTGCTATAAATTCTTAATCATAATAAATAGGTTATCAACTTAACATCAATTCTGCAACAAAGTCGAACAAAGTTCGATGAAAATATTTGAGTTAGTCTCGATAATATCAATAAGAAAGCAACACAAGAGAGTTAAATGAGCCGTTTCTCGATGTAAACTTTACAGCGTTCGTGCGGTTAAAAGTGGAACAACGCGACGACCATAAACATCATGCACGCTACACGTTCGCGTTTCAAGAAATGAAAGGGCACCGTTCTGTTTTGGATTTATATACCGGCGTACGGGATGATTTCGAAATACGTGAGCCAACTTTTAAAGCGTGTTCTGCCCGCCATAAGGATGAAAAAGTATGGTAGGAACACGACAACCCGGGAACTGTTCTTGTCCAGGTTATAAACAAGTTTTAAACACTTCCAAGCTTGTGACAAACTTTCACGAGAATTTGTCTCGCACGTATTGCGAACATGTGGATCAGCATTGCGCTTATTTCCAAGTCGCTCTAAATAAAAATTTAATATAGACTCTATATTATCGTGGACTTCGAGTCGATCACGCATGGAGATATCTCGCGTAGCTATTTATCGCGAAACATTTCTTCGTCATACAACACGGTATTATAATCAGATTAAAGGTTGACGACGAGAGTTAACGATACATGTAAAAACTGAATACGTAATGTACTTTATGTTTCCCCTGCGATAAAATTGGAAGAGATACGAGCAACATAAGTGGTCCTGTTATCGATATTTCTCTGTTTGTTCTCACGAAAGGTGTCGTGGGTCAGAAGAAGGGACTCGCATATCCTCTCGGTAGATAGAACCATGTTCATCCCGGACGAAAGGTTCCAGGCGCTTTTCGTGGACGCGTCGGACACCTGGACCCTGCAGGTGAAGTACGTCCAGGCACGCGACGAAGGCGAGTACGAGTGCCAAATCTCCACCGATCCGAAGAAAAGTCACATCATCAAGCTCAACATCGTCGGTGAGTATCGCTTCAAAATCCTAACTCTTCTACTTTGTCTAAATAAACTATGCTGACTCTTAAAATGACCTAATATAACATCTTCATTAAATGTACCCAATTATTGCATGATCCTTCTTATTTAAATTTGAGCCAAAGTACCATCGAATCTTTAACCTCATTTCCTCTTACTACACATACAACATTGAATCTGAATATTACAATAGTTAAACAATATCAATATAAATCAATAGATTTTTGTACACTTTTTCGTTCTATTATTTTATTCTACGAGCCATTTTCATCGATAGTTTTATCGCATTATCGATTGATCGTAGAAATTTCTTTGCGAGCACGGTGCATCGTCGATTGCATTGGATAGATAGGGTAGGACGCACTGTATGCGTCGTCAATCTAGAACACGTTGAGATAACCGCTATCGTTCGTTTACGCTCGAGCGTTATTTTTATGTCATCACGAAACAGCTATGTCATCGATCGTTCGAGCACTTCGCAAACCAGCGTGTTCAAACGACGCGATAAAAATTATACGAGCATAAAGTACAGACATTCTCTGTTTCGCGTGTCACGTGTGTACGATAAAACGTCAGCTCGAGTAACTGCTTGACGTGTTCGTTAATTGATTTACTTTGTCATACAAGGAATGTTACGCAGCTGGTACACGCATATTATTGATGCCCTTTTAGTACGGTTTAATACTTGAAAAAAAACTGTTTCACCGGTATTCCTTTTTACCACAGTCACGCATTTCAGAAGGGGTGAAAAGAGCCCTCGAATTTCGATGTCAAACCATATTTCGTCGAACACGTTGATAACTATCCGTTGTGTGGAAAGAGTTTAAAGGGATTTGTGTATTTATGGACGACAAATTTACCTATGTATATAAATTTTCACACACGTAATATATTTCCATAACTTCCTCCGATAAAATTTCCAACAACTTTTATGGAAATTTTTACATGCGAAGTGTGTGTCGGTGTCGAACAAATTTAAAATTGAAATGTGTCATGCACATTCAAATTTACCGATATATTTTAAGCGAATCGGTACGGATATTTGTGAATTTTATTTTATTAAACCCACCGAAGGTTAATTAAGTAAAACTCGTCAAACGATTTAATTTTAGTTTTCGTTTCTTCTATGGTTGGTGCGTTTGCAAACGATATTTGTAACGTTTTTCCAGTGCCAAAGATCGAGATCATAGGCGATCGCGACATGTACGTGAAGACCGGAAGCACAGTGGCCATACGATGCGTGATCAAGCAGTCCCTCGAAGGTCCCTTCTACGTTTTCTGGTATCACGAGGGCGACCGTGTTCTGGATTATCAGTTGAACAAGATCGACATCCAAACTGAGAAAATAGATCATGACACGGTCAGCAGTCTCGTGATCCACAAAGCGAGGCGAGAGGACTCGGGCAATTACACCTGCAGCCCAAGCAGTTTGGACAGCGCGAGTGTGCAACTTCACGTGTTGAATGGTAAGCATTTTCGCGTTCCAATAACACATATTCTCATTGAAACGGTTCGAGTTCAGTCACGGATACAGGTGCAACTTGCGCTTCGATTGGCAGTAGTTCGATGAAGTTAGTTCGCCTGGCAACTTGGTTCGCTTCTCGTCTGGCCTAGTTCTGGCAAACTTGTTAAGTAGCAGAAACTGTTTACGCTTCGAGTATGATCCGTATGCAGATTCATAGAGAATCAAGCGGCCAATTAAGTATCTTCTTGTACTCCGAGCGCTTCATGATTCGATGCATAATGCGGATGCTAGCAGGAAACAATTTCCTCTTTAATCAACTTAACCTCTTAATTTTATAAACTATCATTATGTCGCTGTCAAAATTTCCCATTTTCCATTGCTATTTATTTATCATAATTAAGTGAGGATCTTTAATTTTTTTAAGAAGAACTACTATTATTTCTAATTGCCTTAATCATCCACTTTTACGATGATCCTATTTTGGGACAAATTGTTCTATTCTGTTGTGATGAAGTTTTTTAAAAAACTCAACTCTTAAATTAAATACATGTCCGTGTTTTCAGTATGTATTTTGTCTACTCCGAAGTTTCAATGTAATATAATGAGAATAAAGATAAAGTGCTATAATGTTAATCGATAGTACAAGATCGAAATTGAATCTAAAAATACGAGATCGCAAATAAACGTACGGTTTCGCTCGGGTCGAAAAGGTTAGAGGGTATTAGGTAAATTTTCAAGATTGCATCGAGTGGCTGTCGTATCGAACGTAGTCGCGAAAGAAGCAGAAACGACAGGAGAATAGAAACGAGGCCCATTAACGGGAACGAAAGCCATTAAATGCACAACGTTATTGCCGCGATAAAAGCACCGGTGGTGTAAAATCAATTCTCTGCTGTAGGCGAACATCCAGCCGCGATTCAAAGAGGGATCAGCTCGGCACCGGGTGGCTGCCCGACGCTCTGGTGGCTGGCTGGCGTCGTGACGCTGTATTCCAGTCACGGCAGTCGGCTGTTCGTCCTCGCCCTTCTGATCCTCATGGTCCTCTATTCGAAGAATCCATCTTACTTCGCGCCGGAGCGATAATCAGAAATCCAGGAGGAAGGCGATCGATTATCTCCTGCTACGAGACCCGGGAAACGCATCGAGGAACGGTGTCGAGAGAAAAAAAGAAGACGTCTCCGGGAAGACTCGGTGGCACGATGAAAGAGGCGAAAGGAAGAATGACGATCGCAGAAACGCGAGAAGAGAACGCGGCGAGGAATGAAGATGGACGCGATCTTTCTTTGACCAGCGATTATCGTTTTAACTTGTTCGGTTAGATCGAGAACGATGAAATTCTCGAATTTTATTAGAGACCATTTTCTAAATTCTCGATCTCTCGTTTTAACGGATACGGACAGGTGATCGTTCGTCGAGGAAACCGGTGTTTCGAAAGAGGGATCTTCACAACGAAACGTCGGGTCTGTCTTTTCGGATGACTCGATCGATTTTCCTTCGCGCAGAGAGAAGATTCGAATGGGCGAGACAGTGTGATCCGGCCGTTAGTGATTAGGGGTTAATTAATCGCGAGAGTTCTCGTTAAATCGGCGAGTGTACTTCGATAGGATCGCGAACCGGTCACGGGACCGAAACGGACACGAAGCTTGCGGATACTTTTTCCTCCTCGCGAACAGTCGACGCGATGACGGATTTTTTATAGCAGCTATTATACGATCTTCCAAGAAACTCGAGCATAGCGCCTTTTATATCCTTCTCATTCGGGTCAATCGTTCTGAACAATCGTTAAACGTCACCGCGACAGGTAATCATTGTACATACACGTGTCTGATGATGGCGTCGGTAAACGGACACGGTGTCTCGCATCGGGGATACCAGTGTAATCGCGAGCTAACCTTTCTTATTCACTTTTTATCATCGTCAAAGGTGTTTCGCGATCTTCGTGTCTTTCGAGAGGAAGCCAAACCAGTTACCAAGTCTTCGTGATCGATCGCGAGATTCCGTCGAGGACGTCGAGAGGGTTTCGTGGTTTCTTTTCCGTCGAGATTAATCCCTTGTCTTACAACCTGCAATTACATTCACTGTAATATACAGAAACCTGCGTTTACACGAGTCAAATTTACAAATTCAACGATTTGTTAACTCAATCAATTCTTAAATTAACTTAAAACATTCTTCAACTTGTAAACTTGGAGATATTTAATTTTAAAGCTTAAACATTGCGTAAGAAGACCTACATGTTGACCACTGTAGTGCAAACTTGGTGGTTTTATGTAATTTATATTACAAGCAAATATGATGTAATGATTTTTGTTATACTTGTCCACGAGGCAAGGGCTTAACTCGACGTCCTGCAATTTCGGAAGAAAAGGAGAGTCAGGGTACGCTTTAGGGGTTGTTTAACGAAAAGTAAAACGCGCGACACGATCGCAAAATGCCGACAGAACTTCGTCCGCGCCGCTTGATAGAATTGAAACTTGTTCGATGAGATTCTTGGAAGCGATGCGATTAATTATATTCGAATAGGAAAACGATTTAGCGAAACGTGTCTGTACTCGACCGTCTACCGTGTACACTCGGGATCGTCCCGAGAGAGCGACGCATCTCGACGATCGTCTAACGATCGACGATCTGTCGAAATGGTCCCAAATCGCATGAGGTACGAAACTGTCCTTTCAATTTTTCCTTCCTTTTATCGAAACGTTGACACGTTTTGAGACTGTGAATTTGTTAAACGATGACGAGAGAGAAGTGGGTCGAAAAGTATTGCAGATTTTTTTGAGAGGAATTTTTTAAATTAGTGACAGATATAGAAATATTCGAATGTGTTCATTTAAGTTCTAAGGGAGCAGTGACTTTATATTTAACACGTTAACACGATTAAGCATCTGTAGGTTTGGTGACATGGGAATTCGAAATTTGAGAATTTGAGGGTTTGAAAATTCGGGGAATTAGGAAAATTTGGAAATTCAGGAATGTAAGTATTTAGACTTGCAATCTAGGAATTTAGATATTCGAGAATTTGGAAATTAGAAAGTTAGAAGATTTTGAAACGTGAAGGCCAATATAGACTCTAAGGTGGTAGATTGATTTTAATCATTACGTTAATGCATGGTAGTTAACGTGTTAAAAAGTTTCTCAATGTGCAATTCATATCAAATCACGTGGTTCATATCAGTGTTTCTTACAGTTCCTGAATATTTCCGTATTTGAACCAAATCTCGACGAGATGACTGACAAGATCGACTCTAATCATCGAATCATTGATTTCTAAGATCACTGCCTATATTATTGAATGTCCCATAAACGCGTCTAACGTGTTTTCTTCTACGATTTTATATTACTATTTTCTTCTTATATTCTTTTTAGAAGAAGAATAAAATAAAAAGCCTAAACGTACCGAATGCCTCGCGACGATCCACGGTGACAAATTTTGGTACTTGAAGCGCATTGAGTATGAACACGAGCCAATAAAATATGTTATATGACCGTTCATGCGTGTCAAGGTTCATTACGGGATGGGTCGAATCATTAACGAATAAACGCTTCTTCGATGCAAAATTTATATTAAACACCTTCAGTGCCAGAACTCGTTTAAAATTTCCAAATTGTGCATTTCTTGTTCTACATAATATAATTTAATATCTTGTACCGCGTTCCAGTTTGAATGCGAGCTTCAGCCATTTTGAAGGCACAGAAAATGGAACCGTCGCGTGCGTGACCGTGACCTTTTTCAAAGAATAAAAATGTTACAAGATGCTGGTAACGAAGGTGATAAAAATACTCGCAATGAAAAGTTTAAACGATGCACATATATTTTTAACCCTTTAAATACCGCGTGCCACTATAGCGGTTTGAACAATTTTTTAAAACTACACTACAGTGGCTTTTCACTTTACCTTGCACGACCATCTGCCCAATAGTAATTTCCACTATTGTTTCCGCCATTTATCTGCCGAATGCCATTAATTGCAACAATGAAACAACAAACATCAATTATGTAGGTATCAATAAAGGTAAAGTAATACGTCCAGCTGTACTGTAATCAAAGGGTTAATTATGTCCTCTAATTCTCGCTAAACAAGCATCGATTTACATATATCGATTCGTGATACTCGTTCAGGTGGACCCAGACCGTTTTGTCATCGTGCATGTTCGGCTGTATAAACAGGACAGCTTTTTCGGGTCGCCCAGGGGCGTCCCGTGAAATTTGCTTTCTTCTCGCAACGCACTAGGAGATACTGTTTTTTATATTATATAAAAATATATAAATATATATATATAGAGAAACGAACAGATAAAAACCAAAGTATATATATATGTATATGTGTGTGTACGCGCGCGAAATACGTTGCACAACGGTGTTAAAAAATATTGAACAAGTTTCAGCTCGACTCGAAACAGCGGCGTAACAAATTATCACGGGAGAACGAGAAGCTACAACCGGGGTCAACAGTTGAAGAGCGAACGAACTTTCACGGGACACACAGCAGGATATAATCGCGACCGAGAACTGTGAATAACCGTGAAAAGAAAAATAAAAAGAAGTGACAGAGAAAGGAGACTCGAAGAGGAACGAAGAAGAGGAAGGAGACGGCGTTGAAACAAGACGAACGATAACGTTAGAATATCTACGATTCATGTGATTGTAAATACATAGTATATAAATGACGTAACGTTAATTAACGATATGCCGTACGTGTTACAACTAAAGAAACAACCCTAAAAATTAAACAGATAAATAAATAAATGAATAACGTTACTGTGTAATTTTACGGATCGTAAACGCATTCGAATGGGTCTGGCCGCCCGTGCTAACCGGCTCGAGATTGTGTTTCAAATCGACGATGCGAATCGTTAAGGTTATGGGTCTGTCAATGATTCAGATTTCCAGCGACAACCGTTTCTTTTTGCGGGGAGAGTAGGGCTTTACGCGATTCTGAAGTTTCGAGATCTTAGAATAAAAATATTTTGCAATCATGTGCACGTCTACGAATTTACAGGCTTACGAAGCTTTTAATTTAGTAATCAGATATTCTCAAATTTGCAAACTTTTAAATTAGCTACTTAGAGACTGTAAATTCAGAAATGTAAAAATTAGAAATTTATGGATTCGGCAATTCGTGATGACAATTTAAAAATATGGAAACTACAGTGACCTCGATCAATGTTCTCCAAACTTTTTATCTCGGAACATAGGACTCGTAGGGCTTTAAAGAGAAATACTTCCACGTGAAAAATGTTATTAGAGCATCCACGACGATTTCTAAAAGCGAATCATCGCGGGAGAGACCGCTGCGAAGAAGAGTAAGGCAAAAAGAATTGGGCAGTAAGCAGAAATAGAAGGTAAGGCTGCAAAATAAGTAGAGGAACAGTGGGTAGCACCGAGGCGTACGCTTTTTCTGGCACGCCGGTGCGTCGAGACAACAAAAAGGAGCGTAGCTGTGGTGCAGCGCGTTCCTGGATAGCACGGGCCGGCCATACGCGACTAGATGTAACACTAATTAACGCCTAGCGTAAGAACTAACGGATATAAATGAAGGATACATTGTCTGACATAATAACCAGGTGTGAACGCGTAACCGACTCGTATACGTGTGCGATGCGTGGGAAACGGATGAAAGCGAAAGCGAGAGAGTGTGTATTATAATATACGCGAGCCAAGGAAGAACGAGAGCGAGCGTGAAAGACGAGTAAACGAGAGGAAACGTAGCAGAGATGAAAAAAAAAACGAAGAAAGAAAAGGGTTGTTCGTTGGACTGACGCGCTAAGGCGTTGGTCGAATGACGCACTTTAAGATAAAAAGGGGCGACCGGGGACAATTCTTCTTGTACCGTTTCTTCTTCCCCTTTCTTCTTCCCGCGCCTCGCGAGGCCACTCGTGACGAAAGATAAAGAGAAAGGGCGAAAGATAGGGCTCACCTCGAGGCCACAATTAAAGCTCTCGCCCCGTCTCCTCTCCCGCAACCCTTTATTCTCGCGACAACCGGGACCTCCCCTTGCGAGGTGGAAGAAGGAAGTTGTAATTTCCCGCGCTTGTCCTCGTCGCCCCTTTATTATAACGGAGATAACAAAGGGAAGAGCAAAGACGAAGATGACGATGAAGGGTGATGATGATTATAACGATGGCGCGATGATGATGATGACGGTGAATTAAATAAAAAAATGAAAAAACGTCGTCTAAGGTATACTAACGTCGTAGACAGCATTGAATTTTTGTACCATTGTCTATAGTAGCTCTTAAGTGTCGCGAAGTTTTCTGTTCTTAAGACGGCCGCCTGTGCAGGCTTGAGTACGTACTTATGTATTCTCGGTTTTGTCGATGGCTCGCGGGGCGGATGTTGAACTTTATTAACATTGAATGGGGTTTTAATTGGACCGGGGATGGTTACTCGAGACGTACAAATAATTATGCAGCGTTTTGTGTTTCTGTGTTTGTGGGGTACTAAGTAGGACAGATTAAACATCCTTACAGGGTAGTCGGTAATTTCAAAAAATCATCGATGTTTCGCCAAGTTTCCACTCTCTACCCTAGCAAGCTTATAATTCAGTTTCGTTACTATAAATTTTAGGGTAGTATACGCGTCAAATCCGCCCCAGCGACGAGCACGTGCCCGTTCCCGAGAGTCGCGGTACGCGAATATCGAAAGATCCTTTTTCGTGTGATGATTGACCGTCCTGACAGTTCGTCGATGTGCTCTTACGCGTAGATATTCGAGCTAGTTTATTCGATAGTAGGTAATACGAGTGACAGTGGACGTGATTACGATTCCGTCGAAATCAACGAAACGGGAATCAGTTTCGCTGCGAACCTATCGATCCGATTATCCGTAGGAATGTTCTCGTGATCGACGGAGGAAACTGGATCACCGGCTAAACGATTTCGTCGAAGCAAAATCGTATACTACTGCGGCGAGAACTTATTACCCGCGAAATAGTGGATGGTTATTATTAACTTCATGGGAAACGTGTACGTATGATTATTGTGACTTTTAACCCTCTACCGCTTATCATTCATCGATAGTCGTGACAGATTTTGCATTTCTTTAGTTTTTACATCCCTTACGTGTGTAGGTAGCTTTTCAAACTGTGTGCTCTGTAGAAGATTGTCAATCTTTTTATTTTGAGGTTGTCTGTTTCTTTGACTGTGTATATTACAGTACATTAAAACTAACAAGCAATACATTTTTTATTAATTGGCGAATTTTGTTATCTCATTGTACGGAAAATACATTTTCTTTCAATGAACAATAAACAGTATTTTTTATTTAAAAAATAATGCATTCGTAAGATTGTGCGAAAACAGATATTGGCTGTAGAGGGTTAGAAATAAAGGGTATACAGTCGTCGATCGAAACCCTCGGGACGGAGAAGATTTCACCAATCCCTCGTTATCGGCGATATATTAATAAATGATTCGTCGTTCCTTCCTTAATTATGTATGTACCACGAACAAATAGAATCTCTCGGGACACTTGAAATTTAATTAGCATCAACTGCGTTTCGTTCGTGCGAAGGTACAAAACGAAGACAGTTGAAATCGACTCGATAAAATTCATACGCGTAGCTAAGAAAGGCTAGGAGGGCAAAATTTATCTGAATTATTTTCTTCGTTTACTTGTGCGTACAAAATATTAGTTGATAGAATTGCAGTTTGATTCTTTTCCTCTTGGGGAAGGGGAGGCAAAATCGAATTTTGTTTATGTAGAGTATAGCAGGAGACATTCTTCCTTTAGAAGGCAAGCAACCCTTCTTAACATCCTAGCTATGTCCATGACAAAGTCACTTCGATTCACTAAGCAAGTTTAAAGATCAGGTGTCTCGATACAAAGAAGAATCGATGTATCACGAACGCGTTCAGTTTTTCCGGAACCTCTAACCATTACGTTTGCAACGCGCGACCGATCACACGTAGCAAAATGGGTCTAATTAAATCGTTAAACGCGTGCCGTTTGCCAGTTCGAACGTTCGACGAAGCTGACGTCTAATTAATCAATACGCAACGTACAATCGACGTAAAAATGAAACAAAGGACGATTAAGAGGGAATTGGGAAGACGAGAATCGGAGATGGCAGATGAGAGCGTTTGTCGAGCGCCCGAATGAGCGAACATCGATGGAAATTTCACAGAGATAAAAATTAACAGATAAATACGCAAAAATAAAAAAAAGATGAAAAAGAAGTCCCTCGAAGCAAGCCTCGTCTCGCAGATTCCCAGCTGTACACCTTGAAACGCTTTAGGGTAAATCGGAATAGACTTTAAAAACGAATCCGCGAGATGATGCCGAGGAAAAAAAATACAATTGCGCGAATGAAACACGGAATGAGAAACGAGCGAACGAGCGTGTGGATGTACGAAAAAATACGAGAGAGCAAGTGATCAGAATGAGAGAGAGAAAGAGATAATAAATCAATGTTAAACCGATCATTATCGATTTGCAATTTCGAGAGACACATCTTCGTTATCCGCCATTTCTCTGCAGAAGTTCAGCCTCGGTTTTAAATGCTCGGTGTCAGCCTCCCACGAGCATAAATCGCAACCGTAATTGATCGATGCTCTGCGTAGGATTTCTTGTTCGATATTTTTCTCTTTTTTTGTACATGGGCTAACAAACCATTGATATCGATGTGCTGGACGTTTTTAATGCCAGATGCGAGCGTTTATCACCCGTGGGGCATCGTCATGAAAAAATACATGTTACACACAAATCTCAGCGTTTCTGTTTTTTTCTTTTTTTCCAAAAAGTATCGTGGTAACAGGGACAAGAAGAACTGTCCCGTTCTATGTGTGTAAGAACCATACAGCTTAATGAAGAACATTATACTATGAACTTACGGGATACTAAATAAAAATAAGCCAAATCGTTAAAATCTTGTCCTCCACTTTCCTTCATGATCCACGTCTCTCCTTTATTTTTCATTTTTTTATAAAGAGAATTCAGTAATGGCCACATAAAACTAAACAAACATTCGAGTTCTCGAATCTATAAACTTACGAGTAGTTGCTTATCGCTTTTAGTTCTGTTTCATTTAGGATTTTATTTTTATGTAAAAATAAAAGTGACTGTAGTGTTAAATTTATTACGCAAATATCGAACACGTTACAAACGTTATGTACTTGTCGCATAATACAAACTTTGTATTTTTTATTAATTTGTTAGAGACATTTATTCAGATTTTTTGTTCTTGTCGCGCATCTTCATACAATTCTGAATAATTTTCTTAAAATTTACAAGATACCAGGCACTTGCAAGCCGGAATAAACCAACCAGCATCGATTGCGAAAGTAATTCCATGATGGAATTAAATGGCGACATTCCGGCACATAGTACGGTTAACATGAAACCTTCTATACCGACCGTAGAAAAGAATTTTCCGGCCTGAAAAGTGTTCGATTTTATCAGTTATCAACTTCCGAATTAATCAATATAGTTTTCAATTTGCTTACCAACGCATCCTTAAAAAGTTTATCCGCAACCACTTCTGGACTGACTAAAGAAGCGGTTTGAGATATGAGTTTTGTTTCCAGAGGTTTGGACAATTCTTCTATAGCAAATCCAGGAGTATCAGTGTCAGGAGGTAAGCACAAGGTCACAGAAATATTATATGGTGAAAGTTCCATGGATATACTTTCTGCTAAACCACGAAGAGCAAATTTCGTGCTGCAATAGGCAGAATATCCAAATATCCCTGCAAAATAAAAGTTTGTTTCAACAACCACATTTGATGAATCAAACCCATTACATACCTAAGAGTGCAGCTTGAGAAGATGTTAATATAATAATTCCCTCTTGGGAAGCCTTCATTCGTGGAGTAACAGCTTTTGTACAATAATATGATCCCAGAAAATTAATGTCGATCATTTTCTTTAAGTCTGCCACAGAGGTGTCTTCAATTTTCCCACAAATTGCGGTACCAGCACAATTTACTAACATGTATATTGGACCCATGGTTCTTTCCAAATCATTTAAAGCTTTCTCAACCGCATCATAATCTTCACCAATGTCCAGGGACAAGTATTCCACTTTCTGAACATTTTTGTTCTTACATGCACGTATTATTTCATTTCTTGCTACCTCCAATTTTTGGGTATCTCTTGCAATTATTGTTACATGGGCTCCATGCTTGGCTGCAAGAATTGCTACACATTTTCCTATACCACTGGATCCACCAGTTACCTGCCAAAAAAAAAACATAAATTAGGAAACAAATATAAAAATATACAATTTGATGAAACAGTAAAATAGTAATTAATTACAAGTTAATAAAATCTTGAACTAAACAATAAAACCCAATATCAGTAATCTATAGTAGAGTACATTTCTATTGTTAATAATTAAAAGCGATTATAAAAAGAATTTGAAAATATAACCTCAAAAGAGGTTAATTTAGGTTATGTTTGAGCTACTTACAACAACATGCTTGTTATTAACATTTTTTAGACGTCCTCGCCAAAAATAGTATCTCACAAACAAAGCAACAATTAAAATAGGAATGATTATTAGTGCTACATTAAGCATTATGGATTTGTTACTTTTGCTACAGTGCTACTTTTCAAACAAAAAATATTTTAAATCACGCATGTAAATACGTAAACATTTATTTTTTAAGAATACGGCACAACTTTTGTTAACATTTCTAAAGTCTATCAACCTTACGGCTTATTTCTACCTATTTAATTATAAATTTAATCATCTAATCGCACTTCTCACTTCAACAGCAAAGGACGGTACAGTGACATAGCCTTCAAAAATTAATTGTATTATCTAATCACTACGTGATTTTTATTATGATATCATACAAAATTAAATTAGTCATAAATAAAATTGTTTGAGCTCTTGATATTTCATTGATTTTAATAAATATAATTTAATAAATTAGTTTAGTATATAATGATAAGGTATAGATTAAAAAATGTATGCTTTTATTAAATTTTTTGGTATTAGGTAACGTTGTATTTGGGAATAAATAACTTGTAAAATTTTTATATGCTTTATTCTGATAAGTTTGTGCAATAAAAATTTGTACTGATAAGGTTTATCAGTTTAATTAAAAGTGACATCTAGTACGAGATAAGTTTCGGGGAAATTTCGGAATATCGTCGTGTTTCAATTTTGTCTAATTTTTGCAAAGAAGTTCCTTTTTTCAAAAGGAAACATCTACGAGGACGGTTTTTACATGAACGAAAAATTTGTATCATTCCAATGTTATTTTCTATATGACCGACTAAACATAATATAGCGTAAAAATTATTTTAAATAATATTTTCAGATCTACAGAATATATTGCAAACAGTATAAAATCAATATTAATAAATATCTACTAAATATATGGCATTTTAATCAACAAAATCAATATCAATTTAAAAATGTAACAAGTCGCGCCATCTCTCTGGCGAACAGGGTGAACTACACATTTTTGAAACTCTAGTTTAATTAGTTTGCAACTTCTATCGCTAGATGGCGATACATAAGATCGATACGTATATCGATCCCTTACGATAATTGGAATTAGCCCAAAAATTAAAAATATAAAAAAATGGTTTGTACAATAATTTCACTTATGGAAACAATAATTGTTAAGGCATGAGTGATTTATTCTAGTACCTTTCACAATAATTGCAATGATGTAATGCAAATTAGTTTTATCGACAAGATATATCGTTCCTAGTCATTCTTGTTCAATTATTTTTTTAACTATATTCGGATTGAATGACGCACATGAATTGGAACAAATTTTTCGCCGGCATAACTGACGATGGAGATCACGGAGACGAAGATGATACAGAATCGGAGGATGAAGAGATTTGCACCAGCAAAGCAACCGAATCGACCGACAAAAATCCATATTTTATTTCGATAGGTTTTCGGAAATATCCGTGTAACTTTCTGGCAAAACGATGCATTAAAGTTTTGTTTATAATGCTCAATTCGGCACTTTTCGTGAGTGGTTTAATACAACTATAACTATAGACTGATTTACGTAAGAACAGTTTATTAATAAATAAACTCTGGAAAAATATTTTTTATTTTTTTCTACAAATTGAATCATTTAAAATTTTTTAATTAAGCAGTTTCAATCGATTTTTCTCGTAAATAAATCATAGTAATTTCAGAAGATTTCAGTCAATGAAATTAAGCCATCAATTTATTTCCTAAAATTTTACTCTTCACTTCTGAAGACTATAATTGAATGAATTTATTTAGAAAAGCATTTAAGACTAACCATACAGTTGATGTAAAACTAAATAAAGCTTGCAGGTATAGCCGGTAGCGTAATTGCAATATGGGTATTCACGGACCATGTAATAATGTCGAGATTGATTCGACCACGTTTCTTCACCATGATGTTGCTTCTCATATCCCTAATCGTTTCAATAGTATCGTTACTCGGACTTCTTGGCTTGCTTCAAAACCGAAAGAAGTTTATAAAAATCGTAAATTACATCTACATACGATTGTGTCTCGAAACCTAAATTGTACATTGGAACGAATTTTATTTTATCGTAGTATATCGTGTGTTACGTGTTGTTTCTGTTTACCTTATATATCTGCGCTATATTCAGTTTCTGGATATTCGAGGGAACCGTTACGAGAATCCAGGAGGACATGAGTTTCTCCATAGAAAATTATCATACCTTGCCTTCGAGCAAGCAATCTTGGGACAACACTCAGACATATGTAAGAAATGAGCTTCTATTTCTCTGTACTTTGAACAAACATTGAAGAAATATATTTCAGCTGGAATGTTGCGGAATATATTCCGCGAATGAGTGGATCGTATATTACAATGAGATTCCGAAAAGTTGTTGTACCAAACCGATCGAAGAGGTATTTCTTTAAAATTATTCATCTTTTTAGAGATTTTTTGTATGATCGAAATATAAAAATTCTTAATTTAGAAAAATTATTCACAAAATAATTGTAGGAAACGTAATCTGTTTTTTCGCTACCAATTACAATTTTCAGTGTCTACAAATGACAGAAGCTATATCCTACGAATCAGGATGTCTGAGGAGTGCAATGGGTTTACTGACATCTTACATACACGCGATCAGTATAGCAGCTGTAATAATTTTTCTAATTCTAGTAAGTATATTTATCGTCCATATTACATGGCTATTAATCTTAACGAAGTACTTATTTTGCAGTTGTTGAATTTGTTTCTAGCGTTGTGCATCCTTGCCAGAATGATAATGAACTGTCCGTGTCCAGATTGAGAAAAAGTCTGAGAATTTTTATGCTAATACTAAAAATATTTTGTAGATATTATAAAATATTGATGGAGATTACTTAGAAATAAATTGCCACAGATTGTGGTATTTCTTGAATTGACTAAATTTTTTTAAAAATAAATAATGTGAAGATTATGAAGAGCTACTTAAACTGTTAAGGGAGAGGGCATAGTTGAGGAAGACGATATTCCATCCAATTACAGATATATTATATCATAGCAAACATCGTGACTATTTACAATAAATACAGTCGATTAGATTATATAAATAAAATATATCGTATCGTATTAGTTTAGGTTTACAGCAACACGTGACAGTAAACAATTAGATCAGCGGCGAAGTAGCGTAATCTACTTTTAGGGTAGTGGTCGTAGTAGCTGCAGCATGACTGACTCTGCACATTCATTCTCTCTCTCTCACTCTCACTCGCTCTCTCTCTATTCGTTCTCTCTTTCATTCTTTCCTCTCGATAAATCACTCTCGTTCTAACGCGTGCTCAAACTTCGGTGCTGTCCTGATTACCTCGACCTTAACCCTCTTACACCGTTCTAGTTAAATAAAATTAACATCGCAAAGAAGGCTTCAATTTATGGTGTTGGTCACTGGTGACCCATTTGCACTTTTCAAAGTTCAAAGGGATGATCGGCCGCAATCTAGATTAGAAAACAAGAATAGCCTCTCATCGTTTAAATTCGATTTTAGAAGATTAAATGTAAGCTTGAAAATTTCTAAATTTGAAGATTTGTAAATTTGTCAACTTCCAAATTTTCAAGCTTCTAAATTATTACATTTTCAAAATTTTAGATTCTCAAATATCCAAATTTTTAGATACTTAAATTTCCAAATTTCTAAGATTAAAAATTTTCAGATACCTAAATTTTCAAATTTCCAAATCTCCAAAGTCAGAATTTCCGAACTTTCAAAGTCTTAAATTCCCGAATTCCCAAGTTCCTAGATTTCTAAATTGTCAAATTCGCAAATTACGAATAGCAAAGGCTATTGAAAACGAGATGCATTGCATAAAATATTGATTGGTTTCGTTTCAGCCTTGATATACACGAATCGAATGTAAGGATGAACGATGCACAAGGGTTATTAAAAGAAAGGAAAAAAAGAAAAACGAGGTTCCGCGAGAATTCGAGTATAGACACCACATGGTCCGACGACGGATTCACCAAACTCGGCCACATATTACATTAATCATTGTTTTCACGTCAACTCGTGTACGATCCGTGGTTGTTAATAATAATTGATGCGATAATAGTTAAATAGTAATGATCGAAACCGTTCGGTGAGACGCGTCTCGAGCTGTTCTACCCCGTTAATTCCAGAAGTTATTTATATTTATATTTATATTTATTTATATTTATATTTATATATATATATATATTTATATTTATATTTATATTTATATTTATACGTATATTTATAGATTTATATTTATAATTGTAATTCGCGAATCGAACGCCTGCTTCTATTAGAAAGTTTTAGCGAAACGAGACGAAACTTCACGGAAGTTAGTAGAGCGAATTCCATTCACTCTTTTGTAATCCCGGTTGTATATTTTTTTAAAGTCTGTTCCATTTTTTTATATAACGATAATTAGATAATTAGAAGTTGGGACTGACCGGTTCTTAAGACCCTGCACATTGAATCCCCCTTTTAAAATCAGCCGACACTGATTCGTTTAATAATTTGACACGCTCGATACTTTTCTCTTTCGTTCTCTCTCTTTGTCGTTTCAAAAATAGTCAATTATCCTTTGAACGCCATCGCCGAGTCAACGGTAACATACGGTTACAGGTTACGAATAAAAGGGAACTGGATCAGAAGGATGGGGAGGGTGGTTTTGAATGGGGGTCAGTTTCAGAGTGTTTAGATCAGACCTTTCCATAGACGTAGATTCTCGCGCGTTTCTTTAGCAGTGTGCAAGTACCCGATTGTGGAGATTTGGTCAGAAATACTTGGGAGTTTCAACTGAACGCGATTCAATTCGGCTCGATTCAATTTGACGTGATTCAGCACGATTTGACGATTCGAATGAATACCAGATTTTTTCGACCCGATTGGATTACTCAGGTATTCTGACTACCTGCACCTATTATTCTCCGTTGCGCACAGTAAATGAAATCTTATATTAATTTTGTAAATTAATCGATATCTGACACACAGTGGTTCAGAAAATCGTTTAACTTTTAAAATTTATTTGTATAAAAAGAGAATGAAATTATAAATTTTTTGTTCAGGACAACAAAAGGTCGAAAGTAATTGTACTTATATTTATAAATTCATGATCGTGAATTTTTAAACGAATATGATGAATCATGAACTACTAAATCTTTACGTTGGACCACTTTATGTCATCACGAATTTAATTAGGTCAAATTGAGGCGTTGACCGAGGCAGTGAAAATGATATGATTTCAGTCTAGTATAAAAATTAATTTGAATTCTAAACCGTGACAATAGATCAAGTTATATTAAAAAAAATGATAGGTTTATACGAAGAGGACTAGTTATCAAAAAGTCACAAAAAATAATTTCTCTTTTAATATTAATTTTATAAGATTAAAAGGAATTATCAAACGGGTGACCGATCATAAAATCAACGTTTTTCGAAAGAAAATTTGAAGACAACTAAAATCGATTATATTCAAATAACGAAAATTTTCAATCACCAAAATGAACGTGTAGGAAACAGTCCAATTCAATGATTAGGTTGTTGCAAATGAAATGGCCGATTTATTCAGAAAACTTTCAACAGTTGTAATCGCTCCAATAACACGAATTGTTACCCCTTAATCGAAACATGTTATGCTAACGCCATGTTCGTCTAAATGTTGCATTAAATTATCGTATTTTCACAGTTGAATTTCATACAATAAACTTCGAAAGATTTATACAATGTGTCAGAAGTGATCAACGCCATGTCAACCAGCACCATGGAAAAAGAAAGGATATCGTTTGACTCTGGAAATCGTTTTTTGGAAAGGTCTGGTTCAGATGTCCACGTGTCTAAGAGCTGTGGTTCGTTCACCAACGATCTCGAGGTCCTTTTCGTCCTACGAACGTCTCGTCCTTTCGCGGAAATTCGAACAACATTGGCAGCATAAATCGGAAGGAAACGCGAAAGAACGGACGCTCTCGTTTTTCGAAGAAAGAATCGCGATTTAAATTGTTCGTGTGCATTTAAAAAAAAAAAACACCATTTTTAACCTCGTTTGGACCACTTTTAAGGATCGGTGTTTTACGTTGCTCTAAACACTCGCTCGAGTCAAAAATACGTTACGAAGCTTTCCTATATAATTTCTCTCTCTCTCTCTCTTATCCTCTCTTTCTATATATATAATTTTTTATTCTTTTATACACACAGTGTAATAAGATAATTCTTTTTTAATTTTTCTCGTTTTCTCATCTATCCAGACAGTAATGTCGTTGTGCGACTATCTATCCGTGAACGGCCGCCGTTTTCTAAAGCCGTCGCAAAATATTCAATGGCGAGTATACAAACATTTGAAAAAACGAGGAAAAACGTAACGTGTCGGGGCGATTGAGGTGAAAGAAATTGTGATTTCGTGGATAGAAAGGATCTGTGGTTTCGTTTGAAAGAAACGGGACGTGTAATGGACAGGTACAGTATTGCCTCTCTAACTGGCACGTTCTAACATTTTCTTCAAGTATTTTACTTTGTTAATTGTAAATCAAAATTTCCGTATCTAGATTCATGTACCGATTACTTAGTTAAGATGTTATATTTTCTGGGTGAAAAAATTGGAGGAAAGTACTGTAGTTCATTTCGAGAAATGTGAGTATAGTACTGCCTGCTGAATCAATTATTAAACTTTAGCGTATTGTAAGTTATTAATAATAACTATAGTTAATATCTTGAATGAGTTCCCTCAGCAGTACCTCAAATTTGAATCATTCCTACATTCTTTTTCTTTTAAAATTGTAACAAACTTTGACGAATAAATAAGTTATTCTGTAATTGACAACTCACTGATCCAAAGTCGTGCCACTTAGACGGATAATACCGCAGAGGTGTGTGGTTAGGTGAAAGATATCGGTGCTAAACAATATTCTTACGTACGTAGATGTATGGTATGGCGTTCAGTACACAGCGAAAACGATCGGTACTGACGAGCATTAAATTTAGATATACACACTTAGTATTCGGTGAAGAAACATAGTTAACGTTCCGTTATTCATATCCAGCAAGCACAAATATGCAATAATATCGTGTATACGTATTATTACCGATAATGGAGTTTCTTATCCATTCTCTCTCACACTCGCTCTCTTCTCTCACTCGCTCATCGCGTCAACTTTTTAGTTTTATCCGTCACCGTCTGTCGCTCGAGGGACCTGTCTCGATCATGATCGGCTTCGTCCCTCGCTCGCGACGACAATAACGTTTCCCTTTCGAACAACAATTCGTACGCATACGCGACATCAATTCTCGAGGAAATGGACGCTAGCGCTAAAAAGGGGGAATTTTTGGTTAGGACACATCCATCGTTAAAAATACTTAGCCACGCTCTATGCAGTGTGTTCCGATGTCCTCTAATTATTCACGCTCACCGTTAATCAACGTTGTTGCACCGACTTGTTTTTATTTTTCATCGCGCGAGAAAGCACCACATTTATAATACACCTTAGTAACGCCTCTCTCTCTTTCTTCGACCTGAATTCGGAATATCGATTCGAAGAACACGCCTGATCGTCTGCTCCACGTTTCCCCGCAGGAATCCGTGAGAAATAGGCGCCAGACACTGGAAATCGAGCTTCAGTCTTCCGCGTAGCAGCCCACGTCTTCTGGGACTCTGAAGTCCCAGTCCTACAATATTCCGGATGCCGATCATTCGACTTCTTTTTCTCCTTCATCGATCTTTGACCACCAACGTATTGCAGGAATCCGTGAATAGGCGTCGGGACACTGGAAATCGAGCCTACTTCTTCGGATTCTCTTGCTGGCATCTTGGAGTCCTGATCCTACCACAATTTGGACGCTCGCCGTTCATCGTGTCAGTCACAGGGCCATTCATTGTTGAGATACGCGCGTGTTCCTTCCACCTCTCGCGATTCGAATTAGCGTACCTATTCTCAGAGTAATTTTTATAGGCTCCTCGTCCTCGTTATCGAAGTACGACTAAAGCATATCGCGCGGATAGACTGGTGGGCACACACGGTTCCTCGCATGGTACATCATCGACGATCATCTTCCTTCCTTTGTCCTTATCCTATTGGAAAATGTTTATATGTCAATGTAAAGCTATATATTGACTAGTTTCTCTCACTCGATTCGCCTCAACGACGAATGGCCTGCTACCTCTGTTGCTCCTCCGTCGCGTGTTACGTTGGATCGATGTGGTGGCGCTTCGTAGTCTCACTTTTATACCTTCACGATCGCGTTCCGTTCGGCGTGTCAGTCTCTTCCCTCGAAATCCACCTCTGCGTAAACCTAGTCCGGGTAAAGTTCATCCACTCTCAGGAACCTCTTCAAGGACCCTCCTGATCGATAACGGGACGAGAGACAAGCTTCCCGGAACGTTCCACGTATCCTTCCACGAATCGATTACCGGTGGTCACGATTTCGCGGACAGCATCCTCGTAGGCAATATACCAAACGTCGCACGGTTCCCTTCGAAATTCTTACACACTACACCCTATCGCGGTACAATATAATCGATATAACGTTAAATGTTTTTGGCATCTTCGAAATACACAAATAGACTTTGGTATAAAACTTTTTTTTTGTTTTTGATAGTGTTCAGTACGTTTATTACGCGTGTATACGGACGCCACGGCCATGCCTCGGCCTGATCCTGTCTCTTCCGGATCATTCTCCTCTTCCACGCTCCGCGTCCTTTCAAAATTCCTGTTGCTTCGATTTGGACAATTCTCCTGGCATGTCAGGAGAGGAGGACAAGCTAGCTGCAGACGCGCGCCGGATCTAGCAGATCTTGTCCAGCCACCAGAGTTTACAAGTGTGGACGCCTCTCCTTCTGCGTCGTTTCTTGCTCGACGGGTCGACCTTCTTCACGAACCTGATGTTGTACGGATCCTCGGCCAGCTCCGGATAAAGCTGAGCGTCGTGGATGTACTCGCCCTCGTAATTCGACGCGGACCCCGACTTCAGTATCTCGTCCTGCTCGGCTACCATCCACTCGATGGCCGTTGGAGTGTTAGCCTTCAAGGCTTCGCGTTCTCTGTGCCACGCTTTGCGAATGGCGGTCGCCTTAGCGTGATGTAGCAGTCTTTGTTTCTCTTTTTCGGCGGTGGTGCCGTAACGGAGGTTCACCACGTAGCTGGCACCGTGAATCTTCACGTCGATCAGCGAGCTGCTGCCGCTGCCGTTCTCGCTCTCGTGGAACGTGGTGTTCACCTGGCCACCGAGACGCTTTAATTGACCGCGGTCCTCGCTGGCCCTCCAGGTCTCCTCCTTCACGAAGTAGAACGCGTCCTGTTGGGCGCTGTGTACCACGAACGTGAACGGAAGGAAGTACGACCGGTTGAACACAGAGGTGAACACGTCTCCGTAGATGGCATTCGCGGTGGGTACGCTGGATACCACGGCCTGACCATCCGCGGTTCTGGACACCAGGATACCTTTCCCGAACGGTGGATCCGAGGCTGCGCCCAGACGACTAGGGATCAGGTCACTGGTGTCCTTCTTCAGCGCCGAACGAGGCGGTGCCGATAAACTGACGGCGTCGCCCGAATGCCTTTGCGCGATGTGCGCCAGGAAACCGGACTGAACGCCGAGATTTCTGGTCCTCTTCTTTTTACCGAATATCGATGTTTCTGGAGCGAGGGAGGGAGGAACCAGACTGTCCGGAAGCTCGTCGGGGAACAACTGCGGGGCGAGGCTCTTCAGGTCATAGCCCAGGTGCGACAGCCATGATATGTGATCTGTAGAATCATCAAATTTATTCGAATATACGTAAGAAGGTTACTATTGACCGATCTAGTCTCAAAGCGAAAATGATTTCGAAGATTACCTGTTGGATGATTCGTTCGGTCCGTGTGCCTAGCATCGATAGGATCGTTTCCATTGAATCTGTACAGATTCAGATGCGTCGGAGTGTTCACTCTGTCCAGTACGTTCTCCCACAAAGGAGACATCCACTGGCCTATGAGCGGATCGTAGATTTTACCGTAGGGCATGTGCACCAATGACGTTACCTGTGAATACAAACAATTAAATAAAATATCTCTTTTATTTTTAACAAAGTACAGTGGTAACGATGTCTCACCTGATCCAAGAGTCCTCCGCAAAAATCAATAGGGAGATACAAATAGGGATTCGAATCGTAAACGATATGTCCGAAGGGCGACCGCATAAGCTCCCTGATGCCCTCACCGTATTGACTGAAGACCATAATTGGAGTGCCACACTGATCGGTGGCGATGTAATATTTGTGCCGATAGACTTGAGCGTAAATGAGATGTCCCCTATCATCGTACACCAATGACATCAGTTTACCATCTCGCGGACTGTATATCTGGCTCACTTCGTGAGGCCGCTTTTGATTATTGTAAAAGAACTGTGTAACGTTTCCATAGTTGTCCTTCCTGGTTGCAAGACGATCGAGATGATCGTAATAATATCGCACGTCGAATCTTCCTTGTTTGGTGGCTCTAACCAGAAGTCCTTTGGTGTTGTAACTGTACCTCTCTTCCCGAGCATTTTGAACAACCTGTCCTCTGTTATCGTACTTGTAGCTACCGTCGCCAAACTTGACGATCCTGTCCATGTTGTTGTACTCCATGGGTATGGGGTTTCCTCGATATGTAAGCGATAACATGTTACCATTAGCATCGTACTTGAAACCCCATGGTTCTTGAGCCTCGACACCGGTCAATTGACCGTCACAATCCCAAGTATAGTTCTTCACATTGGTGTAGGTGTTGACGGCGACATTACGGGTGTACGTTCTGGTCTGATTGATTCGACCTTGAGAATCGTGGGTGAACTCCATCCTGAACACTTCCAGTTGGTGAATCGTTAACGTTACTTGGGTCTCGAGGAACCTGTCGTCCGTGATTCTAGAGAACAGTGCTGTGCCATCGAACACGGTGGTTTCGTTTATTTGTGGCTTGGTCACTTTGAAGTGACCTATTTGCTCCAACATTCCTGTCCGCGGACTGTAAGCCATGGTGTGTGGCGGTAGTGTCTGTCCACCTATTCTGCCTTGAACATTCACCAGTCTGAAATTTGAATCGTACTCGAACGTGAACTTAGCATTGCTTAGACCAGTTTTAGCCCCGAAATCAATTCGTTCTTCGACCAGCAGACCAGCACTGTACTGATAGTCCCATTTGTATTCCACGTCTCGTTCAGAATGTATCACTTCGGAGGGCAAACCGCTCTCCGTGTATCTGATCTCGCTTTTCCCGTCACCGTGTACGACTTCAGCCAGCTGTCCCGAAGAATGGTATCTGTACACAATACGTGCACCGTCACCAGGGAACACGGTCTGTAGCAGGTTTCCATCGTGGCTATAGTGCTGTAGGTACGCTCTACTGTTGCCGGGCGGTGTGTACGTCACTCGAAGGAAGCCTAACGAAGCTTGACAGGAGAACGAGTGTTTTGTTCCCGATGGAAGAATAATGTGACGAAGCCCACCATCGTCGTCGTACTGCAGAGAAAAGTGTCTGCCGCTGGCAAGAGTGATGTTGGAAAGGATATTGAAGTCGTTGTAGGTGTAATATTTAGTGCCATCCTGACTGTTCGTCACCTCGGCTAACTGTCCATGTCGATCGTAGCCATAGGACTCATCAGATCCACCCCATTTCCAGCTCTCTATCCGGTTAAACCTGTCATAGGTGATGCTGAGATTGTAGCCTTGCTCGTGAGGCTGCCAGGTCAAAGGTAGTCCAGCAGGATCAAAGGTGACCGTCAGAAGAGGATTCCTTGATTTATCATAAAAGGTCTCGCGTCTAAACGCTTGCTCGAATTCCACACCTATCACTCGAGTGTCGTTCACCCAGATTTCTCTGTTGAGAGTTTGCTGGAAGTGGCTGACGTCGCCGACCAGGTTATAAGCGGTGCTCATCGTGTTGGTCAACTCTCCAAGTGACATCAATTGGTAGCTCCACATGGGCAACATTTCGGCTTCCACTGGCAACGCGGCTTCTAGCAGAGGATGTTTCGTGGTAGCTGCGCTTAAGACTCTACCACCGCCAGGAAGAAGGACTTCTAAGCTGCTGTTTGTGAAAGCTATCGCTTTCTTGATCTTCATGCCTGGAAATAGATAGTCTGTTAAACATCTGTGAAGTTTGTTATATATCTGGGATCTAATAATAAAAAAATTACCATCGGTTATTGTTAGTATTTTAGATCTCTCGTTCTTCATCTTGAATTCCACAGTTCTCTGCTTATCTCCCTTAGATAACGCTTGAAGCGGGGCTGACACCTTAACCAACAGTCCTTCGTCGTCCGACAGATCGGAAGATAACTTCAATTTTTCACCGGTAGGTAGAATGACATCGGTCACTCGACCCAGGCCGTCATAATTATAAATGTATGTTTCGCCACCCTACAGAAAAGAGTAGTTGCGTGTCATTTTTAGCCTACTTTATATGATTGATCAGTAATTTCATACTTACCCCTGATCGACTGGTAAGCAAGCCAGTTGAGCCATCGTAAGCAAGCGCGATTTCAGCCCTGCCTCGTTCAGACAGCTTCTCTAAGAACCCAACGGCGGAGATCTTCAACTCTGACTTATGATCTTGCGTGTTTTCTATGGAACTGACGACGCTGCTATAATCCCTCAGGAACTGAATCTTATTGCCAGCACTGTCTGTGACCGTCGATAACTTTCCAAAGCTAGTGTTCTTGCTATATAGGAAGGAGTATCGTGTCTTCCCTGACGTCAGGTCCTTCGTAGAGATGTGTTGACCGTAGCGATTGAACACGTACACCTCGTTCGAAGGCGGGAACGGTATATGGAATTCTCCGCTTTCGTCGTGGTTCGGAAGATAAGGCTGAAGAGCGAGGATGTGCAAGCTGCCTTGGTCTGCCACATGCAACACACCGTCCGGCGAAACCGCTAGAGCAGATATAGCAGTGAACTTCGCATTCGATGACAACAAAGTCTCCGTGCTGCTCGTGTCGTCCGTACATGCGCAGCTCTCCAGGTCTTTTGTGCTCGGAGTCGTGTTGTTGCACTCGCACTGCCCACGCAGTCTCTCCTGTTGCTGTCCAGCGAAGTGAGACATTTTTCCAGAGCTGTCCACGATCTTGATCGAGTTGACACGGTGTGAATCGCTCTCCGCGATGTATAGCTCGCCAGTTGGACTGAAGCTGACAGCCAACACAGAGCCCAGAACCTCGTCAGACTTTTTGGGACTGGTGGTAAGCGACGAGTTCACCTTCGTCAGATCGTTATCGTTGTTCCCGTTGCTGGTGCAGTGAAGAGGTGTGCCGGCTACCACTCGGACTTTCAGATCGCTCGTGAGCTTCAGCACTAGTCTGTCGTCGATGAAGTGCAGAGATCCGTCCAGAGGACTCAGGGTCAATCCCGTTGGCCATTGCAGTTGGGCCTGATGAGCTGGTATGGCACCCACACACGGAGCCGGTGACCAATGATTATGGTGTCCATGGTGGCCTACCAGAGTGTGAATGGTACCGTTCGGATCAACCGCTCGGATGTTCCTTCCATCGGCGATGTACATGGTCTTGTCAGCAGCAATGGCGATTCCTGTTTATGGAGTGGCATGTTAATATCGACGAGCTTTTTTATTTGTTCGGATATTTACCTTTTGGATGAGCTAGTTTGGCGCGAATGGCTGGTCCTTCGTCTCCACAGTGACTTTCATCGCCAGGAATGCACCTTTCTCCGCTTCCAACCACGGGTTCGATGTTGATGCTGGGATGCTGAACGTTCTTCAATGATAAGGCCTTCAATATTTGATGTTTCTCGGGATCGCTGATATATAGATGACCATCGGCCGGTGAAACGCAGAGATAGTACTGATAAGCTACTTGAGTCGCGCTGTGGAAATCATTACGAACATTTAGTTTAAAATAATTAAACATGAAGTAAAGAAGAAAAGTTGTCCACTTGATAACACAGTACTTGATCAATTTCGATTCTTGTAGTTATATGTATTTCACAAATAGTACAGCATAAATATTGGCATACATTAATCATATAAATACGTCGATGAAAATCCAATGTCGTTCAAACACTGTGCTATCGACAACCACTAAAGAGTCAGTCCTAAAGTAGCAATCCTTATACTACAGCAACGCAACAACTGGAAAGTTACCTCAACGTTAGGACGGTATATACGTTTCCTTCCGGTGTGATTCTACGAACGAGATTGAAATCGCCAACGTAGATGCTTCCGTCCGGACCACTCGTAAGAGCAACCGGAGTCAACAACCTAGCGTCTTTGGCCAAACCATCGCAATCCTGACAGACCAAGTTCCTCTGTAGTCCAGTACCCATGACCACTTTAACCGTTCGAGGATATTGTTTGAAATGCAACGTGGTGCCGTCGCCTTTTTGCAGGATACCCTCGTGAAAGTTGTAATGATGATGGATATCCAGTCCCCAGCCACCGATGTCAGAGATGTCCACATCGAAACCCTGCAGAGTGGCCGTCTGTGTCTCCCATATCACGGACGGACAAGTGGAATGCTGATAACCAATTGAAATTCTAGCCTGCGCCACGCCGTACACCTTCTGCTTGTAAACGTTCCGTTTATTCCAGGCGAACGTGTGTGTCAGATTCGGGTCCGCCTCGTAGGTTTTCGTGTGAAGGGAGCCCTCGATCTCCACGTGGACGTGCACGTGTGTCAGCGATTTCGGAATGAACGGTCCGGTCAGTTGCATTCTCACCGTCGATAGATAACCAGCTGCTTGGCTGCTTTGATACATCAAGTGTAGATTCGAGCCGGGAATGGCGATGCTCTCCTGGACGATCTGTAAGCAGCGAAACCAAGGATCAGAAACTGTGTCCCTAACCCTCAAGAATCAAATTGTTGTTTACGGTAAGGGATTGTGGAAATCCTTGGTTCTAGGGCCGGGCATTTGAATTTCAAATCGTTTTGACTCTGGAATGAAACGATGCATACGGGGTTAGAGAGAAGTTGGTTGATGGAAAAGGGACAGAATCTCAAACACAAGCCCTCACCAAATAGTGTCGAGTGCACCGAGATAGTACGATAGAAATATCTAGCGTTCCGAATTTTTAGAGGGACTGCGAAATTTTCGAACTTGCAAAATTTTACCTGACTCTCGGCGAACACCAAACTCTTGCCAGGAAGACCGCCAACTTTTTCAGGCATCCAAGTGCTGACGATGATCGGTCGCAGCAGCTCGTGATCGTGCTCCAGGCAAGGACCATGCTCGCTAAATAGTCCCATCGATATCCCTGGGAAGCCTATTATATAGTACGCCATAAATGGTAAGAAACTTAAAAACATAAAACACTTAAGGACGGAACAAAGACGGCACACACGACGAACAACGTCCAGATGATGCCATTCTTCCCCTTTTTATCCCGACGAAGCAGACAATTAGTAACACATTTATAAACAGTAAACTCAAGAAAGTAACAGATCAGAAAACAAGAAGAAATTAATCTCGAACATGAAATGGTTTGAAACATTTATTCGTCTCGCAAGTTAACACGAGTTGCCACCGACATAACGTGAAACAAAGAAAAATGAAACGAAAGAAATATCATATGGTTAATACTTACCGACAGCCGGGCTCGGGGGTTGGTTGGATTTATGGGATTCGCCTTCCTCGTTAAGGGTCATCACTACGGGTGGTAGAACGACTATTTGATTCCATGGCACGAACACCGTCCTTGTAAGGGGTTTGAAGGGGCTACGTTGGAACTGAAGCGTCACTGCACCACCACCGTTGACCAACACGTCGAACCTGATCGAAGTACGTAAATGCATTTCAAACTATACCGCTTCCGGTATTACATTGGGCTGGGGTCGATCGATAAAGGATACGCGTCGCTCTTAACCATTGCTGAATTCACAACCTTTAGGGGGTGGTTGTTGTGCTTCGTATTATAATAATAGCGTTTAGAAATATTAGAATGTGTTCATAAAATTCTTTCATTTGAATGCCTAATTTTAGTCGAAGTTCAATGTTCGATTCGTAAGTCAGACTAATCTAATCTCCATCGTTCTAAGATTCGTGACTCTAATTTCTCCGCAAACATCTCAGTACGATGCAATTATTGCAGATACAATTATTGCAAGATGTAACAGGTACTTTTTGATGCGACGTACATTATACATGACATTAGTATTTGGCCATGATGTGTACCGCGTGTACGCCAGCTTGAACGTCCTTCGTAATAGGATCAAGGCTGCATTGTAATGAAGAGGAGGGCAGGAGACGCTGAAACACCTATATCAAACAAGTATATAGTAATCCTGGCGAGGATAATCCTGAAACACGGAGCCGGAGGAGTTGGCTCGGTAAACCACATCAAAGCCCAAGCTAATGATGTCGAAAGCTTCCTAATTACTCCGTGCAAACCTGTGTGATTAGTCTGACCTACGTCAACCCCTTCCGCTCCTCTTTCTCGTCGAATCACCGACAAAATTTTACCATAATACAGTGAACTAACGAATGAGAGATTGTAGTGCGTGGAATCCTTCACTGAAACTCGCCGGAACAGCAACGTTTCCGGTCCATCTACCGTTCCATAATACATGCATAAGTTCGTGTAATCCGACGGAAGTCTAAGCAACTGTTGTATTCACGACTTCCACTTCCACGTTAATGAATAACTGGATTGGTACTTATTGCTGATGGACTTTCATATATTCGTCGAACAATTGCTTGCATACCCTTATAAGACATTACATTCTTGAACTATCAAGTTAATTGTAAGCCAGACATGAACTGATCCAAAACTTGTAAATCTTGAAAAACTTTTGAAGTATTGTTTGAAAAAATGTCTTTACAGTTGCATGTTTTCGGACACATTATGTAATGTATCTACATCTTTAACACTAGATTTACGGAACCCGTCAAAGTGACGGACAATAGGTCTATTTTAGATGACAGAATTTGTTAAGAAATTTTTACAAAAATGTCAACTTTCAGCAAAAGAATCAATGTTTTAGGCAGTCCACATATCATCTGCAATTTATTCATTTTTCTACTTTAGGTGAATTTAAATAAAAGTGACCATCAAACGTCCGTAAATCTAGTGTTAATAGGTGAAGATGTTACAGAAATTCTAAGGTCATAATGTATGCATAAGAAGTTACTGAAAATGCAACCCAGTATGTGCAAGTGTATGGCGACTAAAATTAGGCATTCTTTTGAGTCACAAATCTTCAGACACGATGAGACACCTTTACATTAAAGAGTAAATTAAACAGAGTCGATGTAATTAAACGGAGGGTTGAGGTTAAATAAAAGAGATAAAGATGCTTACCATCCATCAGCTCTGGTCAAGGTGAATCCAAATCGAGGGTCTCTGTCCACGGATACTCTGATGCCTACTATTCCAATTCCTTGTTCGGTTACAACTTGGCCTCGCATCACCGCAACTCGACTGTTACAAATCAAAGATATATCGAGGTCTCTCGAGATTGGATCGTATCGTTGATCCGTTGAGCCTCGGAAATGCTGATCCACAAGCTTACGAATCGTAACATACCCCGGATAGAAATAAAAATAAAAAAGAAAGAGGAACGAAAGAAAATGCTAGGGAAAAGATGCAATCCTTCAAATCAAATGCTTAACGAATCTTTAGATCCCGTGCAATGGCAAACAGAAACAAAGAATCTCTCTCCTTCTCTCTGCTTTATAAAAAAAAAGAAGAGAAGGGGTTCGTTCGTTCGTTCGTGCAGCGTGTTTCCTAAGGCAGAGAGACGGCGAGAGTGCGAACAATCGATTTCTGTCTGTCAAATCAGCTTCCGTGGTCAACGGTTCAATGCGATCCAATATTCTCACTTCGCTGCCAATACGATCCGCAACTCCATTTTGCTGCCGACCATTCACCGGCCGCGTTAGTCGGCACAAGAGAAGCTAATGCCGTTGGTCGAGTCCCAGGAACTCGATACAAATTGATTTTACAAATAGAACAATGCTGCACGCGTGTACGCGCTGAAACCTGATGGCGCGTGCTCTCGAACGTGCTCGCGATCGAACCGCGACCGAAGCTTTTTCTCGCTGCTCCGATTTCTATTCAGGGGTTGAAACGACCAAGGAAATTATTTCGAAAATACTTCTTAAGTAAAATAGTTATGAACGAAGGTTTATTCTGAACTAACATTTTAAGCTCCCGAAATATCTGCTTACTATTTTACGACTGTGAAATCATAATACTTCGAAAATTCGAAATGTTTCAGTTTTTAATTTCACAGAATTCTATATTTAAAATGATGTAATATTTCATTATTTTTGCGAGGTGGAGAACGTGGATTATGGGGTTGATATATTATTTCTAATTGTCAGGCATTGTTCTAGCATTTGAATGAAATGTAAAATAATATTTTCGCTTAATCTACTTATGACGTTGAATTATTCAAAATAAATATTCCTCATAACTGTTTCAGAAACCAAAATCGATATGAAGCTGTTCAACCCCTGTTTCCATTGTAAACGAACGTATTGGCAGCTACATGAAAACATTTTCTTTTGTTTCATTCACTTTTTGCATTCGTTGCTGTTGTTGTTGTTGCTGCTGAGGTACAATTTATTCAGATGCTTTGTATTTTGGATAATTTGGCTTGTTTGTGGGTATATTGGTATTACTTTCATTTCGAGCATTGTTATTTCGGGAGCAAATAATAAAAAAAAGATAAGAAAAAAGAATTATCCCGAGGCAGGTAAATAATATAAGGGCTGAGTGATACTTTCGTGAGAATAGAACGCATGCATATTAATTATGTAATTAGATACTTAATAAGGCAATGAAAATATATATATGTATGTAATTAATAAATTTTAGGGCTGGATTAATTGCTATATATATATAAAAAATTGGAGTATGTTGAAGCTGAATATCTTATAAGCGATCTGCGTTGTGCTGAATATAATGAAATCGTTGTAGGTAGGTATATAATAATAATAAGAGTAATAATAATGTAGAATATGCTGTGTATCAAGCGCATACGTATGCAGCTTGTTATACTCGTTTCACGATGAATAATCGCTATTATGAATGGAGCTACAGATGGTGATTAATTTGTGTCTTTGTGTTTGGAAGATTAATTTTGTGACAGAATATGCAATTTAAAAATTCATTAAAACCTTCATTCGAATTCCAAACTGATAAATAAATTGAAAATTGCAAATTGATAGAACAGAATTGAACAATAAGAGACGTGGAATTATTTCTTTATTAGTTAGAGATATTGTAAATTGACTGGAATGTTATCAATTGTGGTAGCAAGATCTCTTTTGCATAATGCTAATTTTTTTATTAAGTGTGCAATTACGACAATTATAAAAAATATTTCATATAAAAAAGACTTATGCTTCCAACCCCAAAAATAACGTCATATCATTGCAGCTTACATTAATTTCATTATAACTTTTAATCTCTATTAAGTACTTCATTTTTATGACAATAAAAAATTATTTAAAAAATCTGCATCAACTTGTGATATTCATTTAAATGTTTCAAACTTTCCGCACAAAATAGTGTTCACTTTTATACAGTTGAAATCTGGAACAGTGATGGGCAAGGGTACGAATAAACATCGCTGGATAATTTCTCGATAACAAATTTGAAAATTTATAAATCTTCGCCTTTCCACATTTATACATTTTCTTATTTAAAAATTTGATAAGAGACGTATTTATAAATTTTCAAATTTTGCAGTCCTATATTTCTAAGGTTCTGAAAACATAACTATATAAAATACATTAAATTAAACTTCATCTAATAATTGTATCGGTTCATAAGAATTATTCAGGGCAATTTTCGCGTTCATAAATTTTATGGATCCCAGCACTCAAACTCACCCTATATTTCTTACATAATATATTTACCCTTCGAAATATTGACGGGCAACGAAGTCACCTTCGAAAATAGTCACTGAAACGAACGATGTACTGTATAACAAGCTGCATAGATGCATTCGATATTCAAATATAAATGTATATATATATTCATCGGTCCCTAAGGGATTGCATATGGGGGCATGATTCGTTCTTGGAGGATCATTTCTTCCCCCTCGAAACGTCGACAAAATTGGACGATTCGGAATCTTGATCGAGCTTCGATGTAGCAAATATAAGAAACTGGGGGAACGACATTAATCTGAATAAAAGAGTATGAATTATTTCAACGTGCGAATTGAACCTTTTTGTATTAAAAAATCGCGTCATATAACGAATTTGAATTTTGTAATTTAGCTGACAGCTGACACATAATATTTTTTTTTTAACAAGTCGCAGGTTGAACCTGTGACGCATTAATTGTGTCAATAACACAATTTAATTGAAACACCGGAAGGTTATATAAAAATTATCTGCAACTAGTTTACCCGAAAAAGGAATCGAATACACGAGGACTTAAATAAATAACGAATAAAATATGGAAGTAGGTCATTCTAAAACTTTCGTGTGAGTTCTGAACTACGTGATATTCGATAAGAATAAGAAAAATGTAGAAGATGGATACTCTAATCTAGGAAAGTGATTATGTTCTTTCATTAAATTAAATATCGGTCCTCAATTTCAATGCAATAATCTTCACTATGGTCGAATAGGTGCATAACACAAGTGATGTATTTGTGCAGAGATTTTAAATCCCTCTTTAAGTACACATTCGAATTTAAATCCGTTTAGTAGAGAAAATATAGTTGCGACGTAATTCCATTTTGAACAATGAAATTTCAAAACTTCCGAGGCTTTCACGGTTGGAATAAAGGATTCGAAGCTCGAATCGGCGGGAAATCGGTGACAGTTTAGAATATCCATCGCAGAATTATTTCCGTTGGGACAAAAACGTCCGGTCGTCGATCCTCCAAGTACGAACACAGCAGGGTGGCAGGCACAGTCGTCACTACTGGTAAGTCCAAAACCATAGTGAATGATAAAGAAGGGAACGCAAAAAAGAACGAAAAAGTATCTAAACCAATCGAAATAACGGAAAGCAGAGTAAAAAAAAAACGACGTGTGTCACGAGACACCGAGCGAGATATCGCGAGGGTAGTCGATACACCCGTTCTAAATTCTATGCGTATACAAGACTTGAATAATGGAAACGGAAAAAAAAGAAGAAAAATGAAAGAAAGAGAGAAACGAACGGTGTCTCGGCGTAATTCCGACGCAATGCCGAATTCTGTCTCTCTGTTCTGATCTTTTCCTTTTTTTTCCTTTTATACTTTCACTTGCATTATTCTCTTTTCTCCTTCTTCCGTTTGCTTCGACAATTTTCGTACGACGCGGATCAAATATCGAGCAGAATTAGTTGGTTACGCAACGCGGCGAGAAAAAAAATTGATTATCATCGACAAATGAACACGATCGATCGTTAAATAGGTACTCTGTCGTGTTCTGGTATGATTTATACATTTCGGTGGGTAGATAGCACGGATTGGTTAAAGACAGACACAGGGTTTTGGTGTACGGGGTTATTGGCACATTTGAAGACAGGTGATAAACAGACGTAGACAAGGGACAAGACGGGTGTAAGGATGGTTCTTCAGGGTCCTTTCATCATCGTATGGTATCATATAGAGCTAGTGTTTAAACGTTCCCGAGTATTATTGCCGATATTTCATCGATGGAACAAACACGTGTTCGTATTAAACACACACGTTGATCGGTGTGTAAGTATACCATTGTTGCTTTGTTCTCTCGTCTCATATACGTACGTCGTTTCTATACGTATCGTAGATCTACCGAACGACTTCGTTAACGACGGAAAAAGAATCAATTGAACGTAAAAATGGAACGCAAGATATACTTATGTATATATATCATGTATTTTGACACAAGAGGCCGCGTAATAAAGGTCAGAGCGTTCGTGTAATATAATGCTAGAGGGACAAAGTTTCACTAGAGACAAATTCGACAAGGGTTAACAAGTACAAGTATAAAAAAGTGCAAGCCTGGCAACACAAAACAACACAAGACCAGATAGAGGATGGTATATATGTATGTATCGTAAATACACGATTCTCAAACATACTATTTTTGCCATTGTTGGTACAGGTATAAGTAGCTAACTTAGCGCTAAAAAGGACAAGAAGACAATACATAACGGATCAAAAGAAACAGACGTAAAGTAAGAGAAGTCAAATGAAACGAGGGCTGGACTGCAGGGGTAGACAACGATCTGACGACATATCACAGATAACACAAAGACAAGTCGTACGATATTGTACTTTAAATGTTGGTGCGAAGATACTTCTTGCCCTGTCTGGCTCTGGCTTTGTTCATTATTATTAACTTCTTATCTTTCCATTCGAACCACTGTCATTTCTTTATAATTTCTTATGCGATAATCGCTTTTTTAAGTATTTTTATAGCCATCACTACTTTAGGACAACTTGAAAGAAGCTACTTTTAATGGTGCAACGATTCAGGTCCTCTTTTATAGCAATTTCAAAATTACATTGAACTTATAGTACCATTACGAATGACAAAAAGTTAGAACATTCCTTCAAAAACAAAGTAGATGAAATATTGAGTCCATGATTGAAAAGATTGAGGTTATTTGTCACTCTCCATAGAAGCATAGTTGGAATTTTTATTTTAGTAGAACAAGTAGAGTTACATATCTTAAAGTATTACTACAAATTGTTCATAAATTAGATAGTGTACTTCTCATGATAAAATAAATGAAATTTAAATTCCTCTCGATCTTGTAATGATTGCAAATTACTTCAGCCTAAAGTTACGTAATTACTCTCTCACATTGAACAAAAAGCGACAGCCGTCGAGGGTGAAAATGATAGAAACAGATACACAGGTAGGAAGAAAGAGAAAGAAGAGCGACAGTAGGGAACAATTAGAACGAGAGACAGTGATCAGAAACAAATGGTACCAAGATGGTGGACAGACGAATAAGCAAAGTATTATGATCGAACATCGGCAAAAGTAAATCGAACGGGAGAGCAAGAGGACGACAAAAGAAACAAAAGGAAGAACCGAAACAGAGTAGAGATATAGGTGATAAAACGCAGGCTAAGGGTTATGAACATACGTATACATATACAGATAGATAGATACATATAATGGGGCATACGAAAAAACATGTAAGATGAATGTACGAGCGAAACGAGCAATAAGATTGTACTTTCTTTTTTTTTCTTTCTCAACAACAAAAAAAAATAAACAAAAAAATAGAAGGTTTCTTTTGTTTGGATTAATGAACGATTAGCGAGAGCTTGAGCTGCAACTTACCGCGGTGTAAAGGAACTCCAGAACGTACTACGTGTGGGAAAAAACCAACGAGAAGAAAGGGCGTTACCACGGTCACAGAACCCGCGTTTTGCGGGCAAAAAAACGGACGGCGCGTACGCAACATTCCATAAGCAATAATTTATTTCGTTCGATCAAATTTCGATAATTTTTTATCAAAAGTCTCTAGGAAAGAAGTCATGAATTTCTGAAGAAATCGTGTTTGTATTTATTTGTTTTTCGAATTTGCTTATGAATTTTTGGAACGAAATTGCTATTTGCAATGTTACGCACGCCGTTACAGAAACAATAGACGTAGACACACACTAATCAAGCGTACCCATCACACGTACGATCTTCACACAGTCACGCCAACATGAATGCAGTCACTCGCACACTCGTTCAACATAGAGTGGTATTACACGTGACAGACACAAGTTGGAAACTACGCACACACATTTTTGGTATATACGATTATACACGTGTATCTATGTATATATAATGTAAAGAAAGAAAAATAGATAGAGAGAGAAAGAGACGGAGAGCCAAATAGTATTAGCTTAGCCTGGGACCACCCTAGTAACTTTACGAGTTGCTTGCTTGAACGATACAAAAGATAGGAAACATATTTCTCTACATATTTATGAAACGAAGTCTTGGAAATGGAAGATAGTTTCTAAACTATCTTGGTTTCTTTCAAATTTATTTTATAAGTAATCAGATAACCTAACCTAGTTTCATATGTAATTTTATCATTCGCATTTACTTATTCGATCATAATTTTATTTTTCAGATTCAGTCTTGTTTGAGTTTCCAATATTATCTAACCTATGCTGGCAGTAATTTTATCATTCAAACCTATTTATTCTTGTTCAAACTTCAAATATAATCTAACCTGCTTTCAAGCAAGAATAATTAGATTCCAACGATGAAATTACGCGTTGCATTCTGTGCCAGTCACTTATTCACTTTAATGATATTTTGATGACATTATCGATACATGAAATTATCGAGAAAATTTCGATAACAGCACCTCTAGCTTTTACCATTTTGTATTGTCAAACGGTGTTACACATTGCGTTACTACTTTTCTCACACTGTTACATTATTGCATTTAACTGGAATTTTGATACATGTCTTATCCTTCGTTTAAAAAAAATATATTTTCTATCTTTCGTATTCTTCAAGAACAATCTTAAATTATCTGCAGAGTGGTGTTGCACCCTAACACGTTTGCTGCGGATGTGTCACATTTAATGAATATTAATATTTACTTTAATGCAATATTACGTTATATATAAGCTAACTTTATGAGGCTATTAATATTAATGAAATATTTATATTAATAGGAACAAGCTCGTGTTATATTTATATTAATATTAATAATTTTGTGTTGTATCGATATTAATATTAATATCCTCGCAAGGCCTATATATACTATGATATTACGTTAATGTAAATATGACCCTATTTACATGAGCATTAATATCGCGATTAATATTACTTTAAGCTATTTTATTGACCCAGAGAGCGTCCGCGACCCGCGAGCTTCTCAGCGAACGTGTTAACGAGTAGCTGTCGTTCCCTTTGGAATTCAGCATCTCGAATCGTATCGAATCGAATCGAATCGAAGAGTAGACAGACCGAAACGGCAGCGTTTCGAGAGATCCTCTTATCTCGTGTCCGTCTAGCTCGAAGGGAGCCCCGGACTGACAATGAGAAGAGATTCCATCGTAGCTGGACTGCCATGTCGGGAGAAACGATCTTCGAATATTGATTATGCTGTCCGAGCAATCTCGACGCTGGTCTGAATTTCTGATTTACAGGACCGAGGATATACTTTTGTATTTTCGATCGAGATTAGCGCCAAACCCGCTGATGGCCATTTTACTTCTCTCGCTTTCAAGATACAAGGTTATCAACATTCAAATTACTTTAAAAGATGAATTTCTGAAGCTTTCCAAAATTATATCACTTGAAAATAATTTTTTTCACTGTGCATAGCCTAACAATATTTCATATTTTATTATACAAAGATACGACAAGGGAATAACACTCATTGTTAGTTATAATTATGACAGAGAACAAGTTAATATTTTCATTGATTCTTTTGTTTGATCAGATTGAATTCGTAGTGTAGGTAAATGATGGTGAACGTGTTAATCGAAGAAAGTATTATATTCGAAGAAACATTTACGTGCTTCATAAATGTGACACTTTATTCCGTTCGATATAAGAAGAAGAGGACGAAGAAGGGTTTCAAGCCAGAGACGAGGGTGCTCGGAAACGATGATCAATAACGTTCTCGAGACGCAGCGAAACAATAGTCGACAACAAGACCAAACAAACTTCATACAGCTCTCTAGAACGTCTCTTTCTCGGACACACACACAAAATATATCATTTGCATATACCATATGCAAAAACGTTACATACGAAGACGAATTCTTGGACGATTCACGGGAAAAACAGGCCGGACCCACGAGAGATTTCAAACTTGTGTCTACCATCTCTAGAAGTAATTATACTCGAGAACGAACGAATCACGAATTTTACCCGTAAACAATTGAGAGAATAAAAAATGATTATCAGCACCAGTCGACGAAATCCGAGATTCGTTCGTCCCCGTGCGCTTTTTTTAACTATGAATCTCCCATTTGTTGGTAAAAAATTGCTTAAACGAATTGGCCGAAATAGCTGGTAAATGACAAGAAATTTTGGAAAAGAACAAGAAAAAAAATAAGACAACGACACGGTCTGCTTGTTGTATATAACAATTACAGAAGGTAGGTGATCTGACTGTCCGAACAACAACAAAAGTGCCTAGAACAATATAAACGTTTGCGCGGCAACGGCGAGAACTTAACTGTCGACCAATCAAGATACCGAGAAAAAAAACCGAGTATCTCTCTCTCGTGTATTTTCTCCGTGTGCAGACTTTTCCTTTTTCTTTCACTCTTTCTTCGCTTTGTTTCTTTCGGTTTATTTTTGTCGTTTCAGTCTGTACGTAGAACGGAGCCTCTTTTTTTCGGAGCTGTAAGGGTGAATGGTGATCTGGTGGTGGCAAGGGTACACACAGAGGATAAACACTAGACAAAATACACGAATCCCCCGAAATGCTCTGGCAGCCATTTTGTGCATCGGGCCACGCGCGTCTCGAGCAAATCTTCATCAGTGTCGAACAAAGGTCGGTCTGGACCATGGTACACCATCGTGCGTTTCCCATCGCTTTTATCCTTTTAACGAGTTACCTTTGCCCATGTTTGCTCTCTAGATATCTTTGTGTACCTTCTCGCTTCGCACAAAAAATGAAATGCATCGGCGAGCACGGTGCAATTCCTTCGAGAAAAACTCGCTCGATATTCGACAGACTCTGTCCCTAGGTTACGATCTGGTTTAATGGTTATTTCGATCGGGTCAGTTACTTCAAACCTATCGAAGTTATTTTTTAATATACAGTATTCCATTTTAATGCTTCATAGGACCGTATGGATGTTTCATATGTGAAATGATCAAAATAACTTGGCTAGAGACAGAAAATGACTTTGAAATGTTTTTACTTTCCATTTAGAAAAATTTCAGAACTGTCGACTTTTTTTAATACTTCAAATACATTTCATTTGATTCAACTTTAATTTCTCTTCAGATTTTAAAATTTAGTTGCCTTTCTAAAATTATTGCTTTATTGAACCGGTAATAGAAGTAGCTTTGTAATATTATTATCAAATTTTGTTTCATTTTTTGCTCAACCTAACTGCATCTTAAAAATGAATTTATTCCCCAGATACGTACAGCTATTATAAGTTTTCGACAGCAGTAAATCTGATTTTAATTGATACTGCAGAAAACTGGAAAACAAATTGCTCGAGTGACACCAAGAATTTATTTGCAAGATGCATAAGATATTGTCAGAGAATTCGAAGACGATGGCAAGTGATTAATATCGGTGAATGACCGATTGGTTAGGACGGTCCTTTGATCGACAGTGCTTCCGAGATGATCACCGACGCGTTTGGCATTCGGGGGAGGGAGGGGGTGAAACACGAGGAATAGGATGGTTCGAGGGTTTGGCAGGGTTTGTCACCCACCGGGGGCTCTCTTGATAATTCAGCTGTCACGGATATAACCGGATTGTTTGGCATGGCGGTACAAGTAAATCTGATTGAATCTCTTTCTTCTTTTTTTGTTTTTGTCTTGTCGTCATCGGAAAATCTTCCACGATGGAGAAAACATCGATCACGATTTATATAAGTTAATATCCGATAGAATAAAATAATCCGACACTCGAAAACAGTTTCTTTTTCGTTTCTCGTCGAATATCGAATTACAAATGACTTAGTACAGGAAGTTACGCGAAAATATTTTTCCCCATCGTGAAGCTTCGTCGGAAATGGTACACGCAAACGAAACTTTTTAGCGAAACACCATCGTCTGTGTGTGATCAAACACGTTACGATTCGAATGATATACGATGCTTCTTTCTCGTTTTTCTATACACATACTGCACATGTTTCCGGGCTGTACGTAAACGTCACCGGCGTGCCGTACAACGGGCAACAAAGAACAAAAAAAAAGAGACACTTTTTGAATGAAATCAATGATCTTTGCGCAGTTCTCGTGGATGATAGAAACGAGGAAAGTAAACCGCGTAATGTCAACGGATTCGTAATCATATAAAGGCCAAACTATGACACGCAGCTATGCTATACATCCTCCTTTCATTAAACATTATATGTATCGGTGGATACTGAACGACCCACTCGTTGATCCATATCAAAATTTTCACGAGTTTACCTTATCACAGATTATCTTACAAGTTTAGCACTTTAACAATATTTTCATCTATTACTAAATTGTTTAAAACTTTGTTAGTTTCGATTAATTTTTAATTCAGCCATGTTGCGAATCCGCAACGAATGGCTCGTTCGTCTAAATATTATCCTCTTACACGCGATAAAAAATAAAGAGCTAAGCGTCTCTATGTTAAATATCGTGGTTAAAAGAAACCGGGTTAAGAAGAAGTGATCGATCTTACCTTTCGGTGTACTCGTTCATATGAGCGTAGCTTTGTACGCTGTTCTCCTCAACGAGGAATTTCACGCGTTGGTAAAAGGACGCCGTGACGCTGGGCGGCTGTTTTCGAAGAAGGACGTCCACGGGATTATTACTAGTAAGGCACATGATATGCTCTGCGCAAGCTGCGTGCGAGCAACACTCGCTGTCAGAACAGTCCATCATGCCATCTGAGAAATATCATTTCTTACAATCATCCTGCTTTCCACCATCTTAAAAGCTAGCTATGTATTTTCGTGAACAAGATTGTCTAGGTTACAGACATGAAAAAGACACTTTTGGTTAGATTACTGTTCATGGGAGAATCATTTGATCTTCAATAATTCCTGATGAGAAATCTTGTGTCATGTTGAATCATGAAATCATGAAATGTTGTAGATGTCAAGCATTAAAGTGTTACATATTGCTACAAATATTACAATGTTACATATGAAGTGTTACAATGTGACACATTAAGTATTACAGTGTTACACGTCAAATACTGCTACAATTCCTATGGCTGGACAGCCACGAGTTAGATTGCAAAACAAACTATTCAGATTGTAAAAGAATGAACCGCAATCACGTTCAGTAAATTCGTGATACTCACCCTGATCGTTGTCAATAAAGTCATTACACTCCATTTCGAGACGTATGCTGCAATCTCTACCCGCCCAGCCATCCGAGCACCTGCAGCTGTATTCGCCATCTTGTAGATTGCACAACCCGTGTCGACTGCACCCGTTCTCGCATCCAGCTATCGAAAGCATTTCGAAGTAAATCTACCGTATCTATCAGGAGCAATTTAGTACGTTTCACTTACGCAGCGTGCAATGTCTTCCGTTCCATCCTTGACTGCAGACACAGGTGCCATTTTTGCATTGGCCATGTTCAGCGCATCGAGGATCGCACGGTTTCTGATCGCACTTGTTGCCAGTCCAATCATCGTTGCATCTGAAGATCAGTCGCAGGAAATTAATAGTATTCTTATATATCGATTAATTACGATAAAATGGGAGAGACGAGTCACTGGTGTCAGGTAAGCTTTATTGTTTGAAAATGAATTCCCCAAAAAAAGGACAATTGGTTCGAGTTCCGTTCAGTTCTGAACTAGAGCAAGGAAAGTTTTTGCACTTGGGGGTTCTTTCACGACGAATCTCTCGGCAAGGAATAAGGAGGGAGAAGCGTCAGCTTTAGAATATGAGAAAGGAGATTCTCTTTCGAGTCCTTGATTCTGACAAAAGGATGCTATGAAGAGGCGACGGTCCTTCCCGTTCCGATAAGTCGGCATCCCTTAAGACGGTGCCTTTTTTCTTATAATTTTTCACCCCTCTTAGTCTTAACTTTCGTGCTTTCGATATCGCCAAGCAATTTACTCATTTTTACCTTTGATACTTCGGCTGACTAAGACTTTCCGCCACTACTTCTTTTGAAGGGTCATTCTGCTGGTTGCGTTTCGAACACTCCAACTTTCCTTCCACTTTTCGAAAGTGCGAACCTTCAAGTCTGATAACGAAATTGAAAACTTTCGAATTCTGGAATTTTAGAGTTTTCAAACTCAACTTCGGAATTCTCAAAATTTGAAATAAGCAACGCACGCTAACTAAATTCCGTGTTTCTATTAATAAAATCATGAAAAACACAAAACAGCGTTGAGCCAGAAGCAAAATAAATTCAACGGGGGATGAACAAAGGTTAAGGGATAGCGTATGCGGTCATGGTTGTTTTCGATTCGAATGCAAAGAGCATTCTCTCGTGCAGGTAACCCAATTCCAGCGACTCGTCCAACGGCCACGAAGGACCCATAAAGGACGATACAAAAGGTGGATGCACAGAGAGATACACAAGGTGTACTGACTTGCAGAGACCCTGTTCGCAGGTTCCATGAGGTCCGCAATTGAGGCCACAACTCGGCTGTGAACAATCCACCCCGGTCCAATGTCCCTCGCAGATACAGGTTGCGGATTCCAGGTCGTACGTGCCGTGATCCGAGCAACGAGGCAGACATTGGTATACCTGCTGGTCGACCTGGTTGCATCTTTCGCCCTGCCAACCGGCTTTGCAGTAACATTTACCGGATACACAGGCTCCGTGACCGCTGCAGTTTGGATCGGCACAGTCCGCTGCAAATTAAATGGTTCTACGTTCGTTACATATTCAAATTTCTACAATGCTACTTTTTCTCTGAGATTATCAGGAGATCTAAAGGATAGGGGTTGATCTGCAGGATCATATAGACAAGGGATTGTTTACCTTTTAATCTAAAGGGAATGTTGGATTGAACAAAAAGGTGGAAATATTTGATTATAAATATAACATGAGAAAGTAAATAATTGATGTCAGAGTAGATAATTGTTTTTTGCATGCACAAGGGGAATAGCTGATTGAAATCTTTATTTAATCATCACTGACCATCTACGTCTATGTTATAACCACATTACTGATTATTCATAGGAGTAGTCTATAATTTTATTCAACTATTTGCCTGACTTACTGCTTCACTATGAATTGAATTTTATGCACGTACACTGAAGTGTTATATTTTAATGACAGACCATATGTAGACCACTTGTTGTAATTATAATAGTATTCAATTTTTAAAAACCTTCACACCATTCAGCTCATGATATGTGACGTGTTACAAAGAGGGAGCACTTATATTTGATTCATTCGCGGACAGCGGATTCTTTAACATTGTTTTCAAGATGTCTGTCGGAAGGAGGTCGTCGAGATGGCGGGGGCGATGGTGATTGCGCCCTGGGCGCCGACGAATGGGCCAACTTTTTAAATTATGGCATCGGAACAATTGCATTATTCCCGCGGATCCCAGCTGCCCCGGGGAAATTATGAAACTTAATTCCAAAGCGTCCCGGCAACGAGTCGCGTGGTACCATCCGCGGCCATGCTTATTTGTATGTATGTATGTATGTATACACGTGGTGACGCAACGTTGGGATGAGGGAAATTCTTGTTGGATTCTTCCGGTTCAATGTTACGTATGCGGCTGCTTCGATCAGACGGGGATCTCTGGTTGTATTTATTAGAAAACACCGCTTTATTGGTTTTTGGCGACCGAAGACGATACTTGGAATATTTGTGATTTTTCGAACGTTTCATATGGGTAATTAGCTTAGAAGGAGAATGTATTCTGAAAAATATTTCTGTATTCTTTATGGAATTTAAGAGACTTGTATTGAAATATTTAAAGCTTAGAATTTTTAATTTTAGAAGATATTATTGGTTTACTGAGTAGGTCGTTGTTTTACCGTGCAATTTTATAATAAAGTTGTTTCTATTTTAAACAGTCACCGAAGGGTTGAAAGTGTTAAAATTAAACCGTGTGTATTCTATTTATCTACCCAAGCTCAAGTTTAGAGGGTAAAACACCCTTGAAAGTTATATCTGTGATGTTATTTTGAAAACTGTTACATAAACATTACAAATATTCTGTAATGGAAAATAATCCGACAACATTCCATATCTACCACGTATCATATGACACACATTTTATTATTTACTAATATTTTAAATGACACAGTTTTCCAGCGCAAGCAAAATTTAACTCGCGTCGAGAATCATTGACCTAAACTACTCGCAGTGAAAATGTTCATGTAAATTAATATTAACTCCATTCGAAGTCCAGCTCGCACTTTATTTCTTTAATTATTCGACTGTATTCAATTTATGGCACCTCTAACGAAACGAACTCGACAGACAAATCCGATCAATCCACCCCTTTTTTCTCCCTCCAAACATTTCCCAGCTGTTCCCGATTCGAACGACCTGATCACCAAACAAATGCGTCCTCGGTCGCAGAACCAGCACCCCGTGCTAATGCGAAACGAATATCGTGCTTGGTTCGTTGAAAAATGAAAGGGGAAGGACGGGTTACGACGAAACCCATGATCGTGTCAGAGACAAAGCGTCCCTCTACTAGCGAATAATTTCGCCATTCCTTCCGTCATTTTTCTACCAGGGTTTTACAAGAAAGAGTCTTAACGAGCGGTCAGAGACGTGAGGCAGACAAACGTCCAGCAAGAATCGTGCAGAAATTGTAGTAGACTTTCGTTACCCATTAGTGGGGCTGTAGACTAAAGGTTAATGTAAACTGGACGGGAGATTTGCAAATTTAGAAATTTAGGATTTCTGAAGTTCGGAAAGAAAGGTTGAGAATTTGGGAAATGTGGGAATTTGGAGTTTGATGATTTAATGCGTAGGGACTTAACGCGTGAGGATTTAATGCGTGAGGATTTAGCGCGTGGTAATTTAATGCGTAGGAATCTAACGCGTGAGGAGTTAACGCGTAGTCAGATTACCACGCGTGAGGATTCAACGCGTGATAATTCAATGCATGGTAATCTAACGCGTGAGGAGTTGACGCGTGGTAATCTAATGCGTGAGGATTCAACGCGTGATAATTCAATGCGTGGTAATCTAACGCGTGAGGAGTTGACGCGTGGTAATTTAACGCATGAGGAGTCGACGCGTAATAATCTAACGCGTGGTAATCCTACGCGTGAGGAGTTAACGCGTGGTAGTCTAACGCGTGAGGAGTTGAGGCGTGGTAATCTAACGCGTGAGGAGTTAACGCGTGAGGAGTTAACGCGTGGTAGCCTAACGCATGAGGAGTTGACGCGTGGTAATCTAACGCGTGAGGAGTTAACGCGTGATAATTCAATGCGTAGAAATCTAACGCATGAGGAGTTGACGCGTGGTAATCTGACGCGTGGTAATCTAACGCGTGAGAATTCAACGCGTAGAGATCTACCACTTGAGAATTTGTCACGTGGTGATATAACGCGTGGTAATTTACCGCGTGAGAATTGAACGCATAGCAATTTAATATATGACGATGTAACGTGCCGCACGTGATACACAATTCGTGACGAAAGAGCATCATAAGTAAGGCTGGAAGTGCACGTGAAAGGGTAGTCGCGCAATATAAATGGTGGCAATATAACGAGAGTCTATGGTAATTCGTCCGGTTGAATTACTACGATGTTTGACCCATATGTAAATACCCGGAGCTATGCATGCATTAATTATAGCATGTACACGAAGCCGCACATATTTAGATAGCGGCGTGTGTTGGTTGGCAACGAGGTAGGTTGCATTACTAATATCCTGAATCTCCATGGATGAGAAGGGGTAGAACGAGCTTGAATTATGGGAAAATTAATGGAGGCGTGACAAATATGAAGAAACAACATCCGACTCAGAAATAGACGTCGAGGTAAATGTTCCCCTCGAGCCCGTACCTTTCTACTGCTCATTTTTAATGGTAAAACGACCCGCGTGTTTTAACTTCGAACACAATGTTGGCGTTAATGAACTGAAAAGTTGAATCATCTGTCGTTCCACTCCACGCTTCTTCTTTTTCACGCTTTAGGGACATATTTCGCGCCGTTGTTACCAGCGGTGTTCTGAATTTTTATTACCTGCATGTTTTCTATTTTCGTTCAAATTAAGCGTACATCGACTTTAACTCGGGCTACTTAAACAAACCAAATAGGTACTTCAATTAAGTTTATACGGAACTTCTTTAACGAGTATATTTTACGATTAAGCGAGGAAAGGATTCTTGAAACTTTCAGCGAAAAAAATGCCGGAAACTTACGTTCATCGCAAAAGACACCTTTCCAGCCAGGATTACAGACACAGGATCCTCGGACGCACTGTCCATGTTGATTGCAATCAGGAACTTGGCAGTCACCTAATGGTATATCGCATTCGGCACCCTTCCAGCCATCTTCGCAGTGGCACATACCACCGCCGTATTGTCCGTGCGAGGAACACAACACCGGGCAAACGCTTTTGCTGCAATCGGCTCCCTGAAATTGTTATCGGTAGCTCTATTATCCTCGCCCTCTTTTCGCTCATGAAGATGATCGACGGCGCCGTTAACGATAGCGGACCAAATACGATTTCAGGGTCTAATCATTTTGATCGTCGCAATCTTTTTCGAATTGCCCTGGGAGAGATTTAATGGCTCGTATCATTCGCCTCGTCCAAGGTAAATCACTGAACAACCAAAGTCTTTTAAAGTTAACTACACAACGAGCGCAGTAAATGCATACAATTAATCTCTGTCGCAACCTTTCTATAATAAAAATTTCTTAATTCGACTTCGCTAATACTTGGTCGGAAATAAATTAGGATATTGTCTGGGTTTTGTACAATACTTCGGCGCATTTACTAAATTATACGCCATCGCGAGGGACATAGAGCTGAGGTCTCTAAGAAGAAACCCAAGGATACCCACCTGATACCCGTCGATACAGTCGCACTTCCCAAGATAACACGATCCTCGTCCCGAGCAGTCGTTGGGGCAAGTAGTCGAGACTCCTTCGGCTTCTGTGACGACCAGGGTAACCTTGTATGGCTGCAGTTCATCATTGTACACCGAAAGGAACCAACGACCCGTGTCTAAATACTGAAGCAAGCTGACGTTGACCATCATCGGTTCGACGATGGTCCTCTTGATCAGCACATGTTGATACGACTGATTGTCCATGTTCGAGCGAGTCTCCTGAGCCGACGTTTTCATGAAACTGACCGCTTCCGAGGTGGTGTCCCTCTTCAATCGATGATCAACCCTGCCACCCTTCACGTTCAGCGAAAAAAATGCCGGAAACTTACGTTCATCGCAAAAGACACCTTTCCAGCCAGGATTACAGACACAGGATCCTCGGACGCACTGTCCATGTTGATTGCAATCAGGAACTTGGCAGTCACCTAATGGTATATCGCATTCGGCACCCTTCCAGCCATCTTCGCAGTGGCACATACCACCGCCGTATTGTCCGTGCGAGGAACACAACACCGGGCAAACGCTTTTGCTGCAATCGGCTCCCTGAAATTGTTATCGGTAGCTCTATTATCCTCGCCCTCTTTTCGCTCATGAAGATGATCGACGGCGCCGTTAACGATAGCGGACCAAATACGATTTCAGGGTCTAATCATTTTGATCGTCGCAATCTTTTTCGAATTGCCCTGGGAGAGATTTAATGGCTCGTATCATTCGCCTCGTCCAAGGTAAATCACTGAACAACCAAAGTCTTTTAAAGTTAACTACACAACGAGCGCAGTAAATGCATACAATTAATCTCTGTCGCAACCTTTCTATAATAAAAATTTCTTAATTCGACTTCGCTAATACTTGGTCGGAAATAAATTAGGATATTGTCTGGGTTTTGTACAATACTTCGGCGCATTTACTAAATTATACGCCATCGCGAGGGACATAGAGCTGAGGTCTCTAAGAAGAAACCCAAGGATACCCACCTGATACCCGTCGATACAGTCGCACTTCCCAAGATAACACGATCCTCGTCCCGAGCAGTCGTTGGGGCAAGTAGTCGAGACTCCTTCGGCTTCTGTGACGACCAGGGTAACCTTGTATGGCTGCAGTTCATCATTGTACACCGAAAGGAACCAACGACCCGTGTCTAAATACTGAAGCAAGCTGACGTTGACCATCATCGGTTCGACGATGGTCCTCTTGATCAGCACATGTTGATACGACTGATTGTCCATGTTCGAGCGAGTCTCCTGAGCCGACGTTTTCATGAAACTGACCGCTTCCGAGGTGGTGTCCCTCTTCAATCGATGATCAACCCTGCCACCCTTCACGAACTCCACGAAATCGTACTGCGTGACGCTCGGAGCCACGTTCCGCCTGCCGTACACGGCGAAGTTCGCACCCCATGGCAATGTCAGGTTCAACCTGATGAAAGCAGGCTGCTTGTTCCGGAACTCCGTGTTCCAGAAGTGGTAAGGCGATATGACGGCCGAGTGGGCAACGTTGTACGCTTGAAGCTCGAGCACGGCCGGCCATTGTTGTGCAGACTGCTGGATCTGAGGATCGCTCTGTTGGTCCCCGGCGCTGTCCGATGCGCTCGAGTGTTCGGCTGTGCTCGTTGGCAGTGATTCTGTCGAACATGTTCAATACATTCTTTAATTGCTAGAAAACTTGATAAAAGAAAAGTGACGTTCATAGATCAAAGTCATTCTCCTTTAATAGTGTCCATCATTAAAGAACTAAAGTGAAGAACTAGACATATACAGTTGTGGAACACCTCATATTAGGTGTGGTACAGAAAATATGTAGGTTATGCTAAGGCACGACGTTTCACTATGATGTAACTGTACCATAACCTTTTAAAAATCGTTCATCTTTAAATCAATACGCACTATAAAACGGACAACATACTCTCGCAAAAACTCTCCTATTACATAACATTGCAAGTATTAATTTAGTCAGCAATTAAACCGGTTAAAAATTCTGTACAGTTTTGAAAATGAAGACCGTGTATTTTTAATTAAAATTTATTGTTGCGCCGACTTAACGCAATAACGTTGCATGTTGTGTATTTCAAACAAGCATAGATACGTAACATAAATCTCCATGAAACTCTTCACGTAAGTCATAAATGTTGTTTCAAAAGCAACTAGCTCGCACGACAAATATTTTCATACGAATAATCCAACGACCGTAGAGACATATTAGAAATGATATTATTCTCGGTGTAGCTATTGTATCGTTACATAAGCGATGCCCGATACCAGGCAAGGAGGAAGCCATTCGAACGTGGCAGACACATCCCAAAAGCAATTACCGTGAGACGTTGTACGCCCAGAGTATTTACATCATGCATAGTGGATGCAAATTGATACCGCTCGATATTTACCTTCCGTGGGTATTTGCGTTGATATCGGGTCGTGAATATGCGCGTTCTCGTGAGTGACAGCTTTCACGTCTTGGACCACCACACACTTTGTACTGTCTATCGGTCGCATCGAACTCACTGCTGGAAAGAAAACAGAGGTTCCCCTTTAACAATCGAACAATCGATTTCTGTCATTTCGTATGTTTCCACATACTCCGAATGCTAACAGAAGGAACTCCAAGTTGGATCAATAGGGACATAACCATTAAAATTTTTATTTTTCAAATGTTAAAGATAAATATTTAATCTAGCTATTATTGTACCCCAGATCGTGCGACGCGTTTCAGGATTATGAGTCCAACGGTAGAGGTTTCTCACGTACAAGCTCGCACGTTGATCGTCCAACAATAACGGGCACAATCAACTTGTTATATTCTTAATGTAGGTGGCCGCCACTTGAGACAAAATAGCACCGTATCGCGACTCTTTTATTGCGCCAGGAATCAAGAAGGAGCTTGGTTCGAACGTCCCTGGCGCACCCTAATGGCTTCATAAATTCGAACAATCGCTTTCGAATTACGATGGGACACTAGATTTCCCCGGGCGTAGACTCGCCTGGTAACTTTTCAAGAAGGGAATTCGAATGATAAAGGCCGCGCCTCTCTGTTTCTGCGTTTAATGCCCGCCACTGTCGTGGCCGGTAATTGGTTGGCAAACGTGGCGGAGGATAAAAGCTTCGCGTTGCTCGCGACAACGGCAAAAGATGCTTTCTTCCTGCAGCTAGACAGCCAGGAAATTTTTAAACGGTAAGCTGACTGCGACGTTTAGAAAAATAAAACCTTCCAAAGGTATCGCGTGTAAATGTTTACGAGACTCGTGGAAAATGTGTTGAAAGTAAAACGTGTATTGTGCCTGTAACGTACAGCGAATGAAAATATTTCGTTTCTTTTAAATAAATTTTAAAACAGAAACTATCTGTTTATCGTCGCGTTCTTTTTCTTATTACGTGTCGGCTGGAAAATGTATCTCCACGAAAATGAAAAAGAGTGGAGAGCCAAAAGAATCCAATATTCCGTTGATCTCGGAAACCATATAACGGCGAACGCGTTAAATTTTACATTGTACCTGAACAATATCCTTCGATTTTCCACTAAAAATTGCCTTTCCCATCCAATCTACAGCTAATGTCTCCATCATGAATAACTCGAGCGCATAACGTACGTTCCGAGCCCCAGTTCCCTTTACAACCCCATTAACGTCACGTTGTACATAAACAGTATTAGTTTCTGAAACTACATTTACAAAATGTCCTGCTACGCGTACAGAAATAGCCTGATGTAACATTCGCCGATAGTTCGTAACAATGAGAAAAATGATGCGACCAACGTGTTACGCGAATCGTTTATAGCAAACATCGCGTGTTACGTATGGGTCATAGGAATTTATAACGAAATTTGTCACAACCATTTTGCATCGTGTCGAGTTGTGATTTATAGCGAGAAATACGCGTCAAATATATATGACAGGATTTTTATAGTAAAAATCGCGCGTTCCACGCACGTATAAAAAACGGATTACGATTAGTTTCCACTCGGCTGGAATACAAGCGTGGTTTATAGTGCGTGTTGACCTGTGCATAACGGTAGTTTATAGCAAAAAATCGGGCTTAGAAAATGGAGTTACCGGTTTCATCTAATTTTTTACGGTTTCAGAGTTTCGTCGCTCGATTCTTGAATTATGGCGGGTTGCATTATATTTTTATTCCGAAGGAAAATGCGACTTTTATATTACTTTGATAAAAATGATGGTTTCCTGACTTCCAATGTTTCTACATTTTATATTATGCAAATATAAATTATTGGGGGTAAAATACTGTAAAGGATCTTGAAATATCACCGACTAATTCTAATTCTAATTATATCAACATTGTCTAATTACAAGGTGGTTCATTGAATTAAAAACACCAGAGAGAATTCCACGATAAAACTCTTATCAGCGGGCAGGATATCGCGGTAGAATTAATTATCTGGTCCCGTTGACGGTGCTGGCGTGAATTAATTACCCGGGTTAACGAGACTTTTTAAAAGCGAATACAACGTGTCCGATGATCTCTTGGCTTATCAAGCGGCGCCATTTGTTTTTACGCACCAGCTAATTCGAGCTCTACCGCTATCACCGTCACTCGAACCGACTGACAAATAGAGAAATCATACACGCGCGAGTGTCATCAATATTTCAATGCTCATTTCTGTTCTTTTTTCGTTCGATTTATCGTTCATCCCTTACTGCATTCGACGCGTGATTCACGCGTCACCGTTGAATCGTAGTCGAACTGTCCAATCGTGAGAGCCGATATCGCTGACGGATATGCACCGGTAATATTTTCCTTTTCGCTGATGGATTCACAGGATAGAGCGTGGAATCTTGACGGCCTGGAATTGGATCTACACGACTACTGATGCCAAATTCGATCCCCAGCGAATGCTGTTTTACATTTCTATCCGAGTGTCCTAGAAATTTATCTGTGTCGCAGTGCCCCGTTGTTCGAGAGACGTTTTTACATTTAAAGACAACAAGATCAGACTCGTAGTATTCCAAAATCGGAATAAGTACGGTGTTGATGCAAGAGATTTAGTATACCTTCTATTCTTCCATCAAAGTAACATTTGCATCACGATACAATCTCCTCATATGTCTTTTTTCATTGTCCCCATTTCACAAATTGACTGTCATAAAGTGCAATGAAATTCATTAACTGCTATGCACATGCGAAGTGCAAACAGAAACATTTTGTCGAAATTTGAAAAACGATGCGTGTCGCACGCGTGTGTGTTCAAAAGGACATGCGTGACACGCGAAGAGGGACACTGGTGATGGCGAGCGACGTGAAACGAGGACGAAAACGACGCCACGGTTGCTCCTGATGCTCGCGAAATGAGGTCATTCACAGTTCACTGCAACTCAATTTCCAACGATAGTTACATAACGGCAGCGTCGATCCCGCAGGAATGCTTTCTTCTTTTCCAGTTATTTCGCAGGTTGTATTTGCAGGTCGAGTCGATCCCGGTTGCTCGGCAGCTCGCATGCGTCAACTTTTCCACGGGAGGACAGTAATTTGCCTGTCGCGCGAAATCAGGGGGATGATTGTGGTAATTGGACGCGCCAATTCATTCTTGCTGTGGCCATTTTACTTTTTTTGAAATACGCTTTTGTTACCGAGTGCGTCGATCAACTCTATTTTCAGTTAGAAGCACGAAAGTTTAAAGGATTTTACCATTAATGGTACATGGAGCGGTTATATTTAAGCTTTGGTTATATGACCAAAGAATATAGCTATACGAGAGAAATTCCATAAAATTAAACTTCCAAATTTGAGAATATAAAATATTTCTTAACTTAGTTCCACACTTTTTAATATTCCCCAACTTGAATAAGTTTTCATATTTTTCAAGCTATACTTGATCCTTTAATGCGTTAAACATCGAGTTCTATATAATAACAGGTAGTAAAAGTTGAACGTGGAAACGATCGGAAATTTGAAACGGTTTTGCAGAATCGAACACGGATCTCGCACCTTGATCCGCCAACGTTTGATTCGACACAGGGAAAAGGTGAAGTCGAGTGAGAACGACAGGCTAGTCGATCGACAAGAGCAAAGGAACAACTTTTTCAATTATGTTCTCCCGGATCGATAGAGCGATTCATTCCCGAGAATGATTCCCGGATTATCGAAGGATTATCTGCTCTCTCACGCCCCTCTTATATTTTCACGTTCTTCCTGTGCGTTATAATGAAATGTTTATCATCGATCCATCCATTCTTACGCTACGATTCGTTCTTGAAAGGCATTCACTTTATCAAGCTACAGCTTGTTGAAATCATTTTTTTTTAATTCCATTAGCGATCACGTTTTTATTGATGACCAAACAACCATTAGAATTTATAAAAATAAAATGGCATCATTTATTTTAGATATTATATAATTCATTGTTAACTGCAATTCGTTTGGGAGTTAGGTTAGGTTAGGTTTTAGTAATCTGGGCTCTTTGGAAGCAGCATAATATTTCAGAAAAATCTCCCAACGTATCCCTGCAGCGATATCTCAAGATATGTTAGAGAATCAAAACGCAGGTAGAGGGTGGAAAAATGGCAGATAGAGGGCGATTCGTTTCTCCCACGAACATCGTGTTTTCGAAACTCCTCGAAGTGTAGGAAGAAAATTGTAGCAAAAATCCGTCTACCATTATAAATAGCGGCCGATTCGAGCTACGTTCCCATCAACAACAAATACCCAGAGCACAACGGCGTAACGAGGGCAATATTTAAAGTGAGGCGAAAAAGCGGCGCAACCAAGCTGCTTCGTTCAATCGATCCAGCTCTCTCTTGTTGTTCGTTCGCGGAAATTACGTCGAGAGCAGAGAATCCGGAAAAGATTTCGCTCCCAAAACAACGTCCACGTAAATCGAATTACCGAAAAATAATGGCAATTATCGCGCACGACGAAAAGAATGTCTGAATAAATTACTTGACATTTTGTGCAATTTGCATATTCCTAAATGTGCCAAAAATAAAATTATAGAGATCGAGTACGATGTCTCTTCGGTATAATCCTGTATAAATTAATCAAATATTCCGTGTCTGAATCGCATCACACTGTAATAAATTAACAATGCAGGAGTATTAATTAAACGTGACTTTAATTCAATTATAAATCCATTTAACCTCATTTAGATTTAGCTTCGCGATATACAATTTAATAACTGTCATCAAGATGAACTATCAACTAGTTAATAATAAAATGAGTTTGAAGAGATAACAGTTTCGCATCGTGCGTTAGACCGTCTAAACGGTATAATAAAGGAATTCATGGTTGAAAACAAAGTGGAAGTTGGTAGGTCGACGTCGGCCATCGCGGACTCGGGGTCTGAATCGACGAGATGGTCAGAAAGAGGGTGGAGTGGAAGGCGTGGGTGTGGAAGAGAGTAGTTTGGATGCAGTAGCAAACAGGCAGATTGGATTCCCCCGACTCGATTTACCGGAATGCAGAAATAACAGCTGGCGAGGTCTCCTCGAGGCCGATCCGGCTTTGCAATCTTCTCCTCTTTTCTTCCTTCCGCTTTTCAGACATGCGAGAAAGGAACACGATGGCGAGACGGGACGAGGCCATGGCGGAAGTAGAAGTAGAAGAAGAAGAATGCAGACGCTGGATTCGAGGGACAGTTCAGTCAGGGATAGTAGATATTCGAGAATGTTTTATATACACGTATATACACCATCGTTCAAAAGTATGTTTATTTTACTCGGACTAGTTTGAAAATTAACACGAACTTGATATACACGTCATCGTACGCAAATTCGTATCAGTTATTTATTAACGTCATTGCTGTTCTACATTTCGTGCCATAAATCAGTGCTTATATTGATTGACACAGTGAAAATTGTCATACGTACACACTGCAATCCAGATATAATTGTGCCATTTTTTTTAATTAAGTAAAGTACGATGTGAAAATTGTTAAATCTTTTCTGATTTAATTGTTCCATTATCAGATACAAATTAATTCGTAATTGGTAGTTAATGTGTTAGTTATTGCAATCCCATGTGATCAGTGTTAAATTTCCTAATAACATGGATATGAAATTCTCGTATAACTTTACGAAATCATTGAAATTATGGACTATATTAAATTTCACGTGGACTATACTGGTTTCATATGAAATATATTAAATTTCTGGCAATATACGATTACTATTATGCTAACAATATAGAGTTATAAATTCATATCCCTTACGTCCATTATGACACTGTATACAATTCATACGCTTAAAAAATAAATTAATTTTAATCTGTTCAAAGACTAAAAGCAAAATATAATTGCATGAGCAATTACACCATTTCACTCTGACTTAAAAGCTCCCTTAAAGAGATTAAATCTGGTTTCATAAAAAATATTAAAACTGACATACGATGTCTGTACACCAAATCCGAATTAATAATAAATATGATTGAAAACGCGAGCGAATACACTTTTGACCGGAAGTGTACACATACGTATTCGCAGCACAATGCTATCTTCTCCATCCCTTCTTTTCCGTCAAATCCCCTTTATTCCCTCCACCTTTGAAAGATAAACCGTAATTCCACTGCGCCGGAGACCTTGACCGCCAGTTTGGATTCAGGGATTTGTCGACTCGGACTGAATGCAAAAACACAATTCCCGTGGCCCGTCCCACCCCCATCAACCCCCTCTGGAGGCCACTGTTTCACGTTGATAACGAGGGAGCGTTAATTTCTCTAATCGGTCCCTGGCTTGGGCTGGTTTTGCCGTTCGTCTCTCGACGGGGATGCAATTTTCGTGTAACGGGGCTGGGCTAAGCCACTCTCAAGATTCTTCCTGCTGTTCGCCCGGCACTCTTTGATCTCTCGCTTCTTATCCAACCCCATCCCCTAACCGTTCTCCACCACCTTTCAACTCCGGGCGGAATGGTTAATCGGTGTGCGGCCGAGGAGAACGCTCGATGTTTGCCGCTCGTAGGAGTAGTTTGAAAATTGTGAAAGTTTTATTGTAGGTTGTTGACTCGGGTTTTTAAGCGTTATGAATTTAAGTCGGAATTTCGAGGCAGTTTCGGCTCTTTTCAGCGGATGAAGTTGTAGCTTTAGATGAGTTGTGCAAAATATGTTCCGGGAAAATTAAGTGCGTTATGCCGTGATTGTACCGCGAAAATGTTTTTTGTAAAGTCTCAGACAGAGGCTCTACAAAATGACAAATCAACTTAAGTTGAACAAAAATAGCGATCTGAACCTCTCACAAAAATTATGAAACAAGATTGCTTTATTGGCTTTGCTAATCTTCGCCTAACAGAAATCTGCATATATGACAAGATCTTAAATAAGAAGACAACGTTCTATCCGTGCCATCCTGAGGTTTATATTATTTAAAGCTCACTTTCGCAGACGCGAGACTGCAGCGTAAAGTTGGAGAGAGATCGCAAATACCAGGAAGAGAAGCCATCAGTGAACGTAGATGCTCCCGCGGGACGTACACCGCCAAATTAAATACCGTTTAACGACGGAAGTCCGGATCTTTCGATAGGAAGTGCAGCTACGTCGTAACGTTACTAGCGCAATGGTTCGTTTAGCAGCGTGAGCGGCGGTTACCTTCATCCGGTTTAGGGGAGAGGTGAAAATATTGCCGACCGATGGAGCACGAGGAAGCGCTTCGACAGCATGGACTGCGTTTCCGGCCAATAATGATCGGCCTCGAGACATTATGCTGCTCGTCGTTCACAGGGGGATAAAGGGTGAGTTTCAATCGATATCGATGTGCAAAAAATTCAGAAATTTTACATTTACTTTGCTATAGAGCCTCGAGATTTTTCTGCTGATAAATTTTAAGGATTTATAAATTCTTAAATTTACAAGTTTATAAATTCTTAATTTTGCTAGTCTGTAAATTCTTAAATTTTCAAGTTTACATATTCTTAAATTTACAAATCCTCTTCTCTGATTTCCAATTTCTCAAGACCTCAAATTTTCGAGCTCACAAATCTTCCAATTCCCAAGTTCTTTAATACTCCAATTCTCAAATTGCTACATCGTCATATTTTCAAGTACCATTTCTAAATCCCTCGGTTCATAAATTCCCGAATTCCAAAGGTCTCAGATATGAAATCTTCCAAATTTGTAAAAAGCGAGTAATCAATAAGAAAGTGGTACTTTCATTCCCTGTATCTCCAGTTCGAAGAAGCGTATCTGTTGAACGAACGCGTCAGAATTAGGGGTTGTTCCCGGGAGTAAGGGCTGGTATCAAACGCGATCGCATCGAAATAATTAACAGTAGGACGCGACTAAAAGCGAATTCGAGCACGACCGTGTGGAAATTGCGAAACGACGGTAACAGCATCGGCGGCGATGCTTCTATTTGTACATAGATTATCACAAGTTAGGGGAATCGAAGTTTCGTCGACCAGTGCCGTGGAATCGTGGGCTGCCTAACCGAATCTGCAAGTTAATAATGAGTTATTGTACCGTAAATTGCAGATTAACGGACAGAAGGATTTTCCGGGCCGAGTGGCAATAAATTACGACGTAACGTGAGCGGTAAATAAGAGCCGGTTCAACGAGAGACCCGTCGAATCGACCAACCTGCTCATACATAATAGATGAATTAACTGTATTTTGATTCCTGCCCAGACGGCCGTTTGATTACGCGTTTTCCCGTTACCACGGAACCGCAACACCGCAGGAAATTTCTAAACGCGCGTGCCGATCGATTCGGCGCTCGTTCCTGTTCAAACGAGGACACAATCCTCTCGAAATCGGCCGGGATCCTGTGAAACCGGACCGAAAGGGGAGTCGAGTAACATTGGAAACGAACGGAAAAGCAAATTCTTCTCTCGTTATTGGACTTGTTAACCGGGGATCGACTTGCAAAGGTACTTTTTACAATTTTTTTTACCGACGGTGCTCGAGTAGTCTGCGCGGTGTATTGATCAGAACCAGATTGATTTTTACGAAGATGCGGATATGTTTTCCGTATGGTCTAGTCGTTCAAATTTTCGTCTACATTAATTCATTTCACTTCGGATGTATACTACACGTCATTTACTTTCATAATTGTATACATGATGTTAGAAAATGTTTAAGTTCTCTCAAAGTTATCCTAAGATTCTTCAGACTCTTTCCAGAATCTATGCCTTTCCTATAGCTTTTAATTCTACTACATTGTTCAGATATTTCATGTAGTTCCACACTGTTAAAGTTGTTCTAGAGTTATAAGATGGAAGACCAATAGTAGATTCTATGTCCACGTTCATTTCTGCGCTAGTTACAGAATAATTTGCATAGTATAGAATGTAATAATGTCTGTACTTACTGGCGAAGTAAGCCAACATCGCTGTCAGCGCAACAGCCAAAAGGATCAAGGCGATCGAGAAACATTTCCAGGAGCATCTATGCTGGCAACGTTTGTCGATGTGAAAACGTGACGGCGAATAAGGTGAATAATGGGGCACCGCTGCGGCACGAAGTGGAAATCCTGGCATTACCATGGCTTGACCTTGGGCGCCCACCGTGCCTGTACCACCATTTCCAGCACCCGCACCCAGGCCACCACCCACGGAACCGACTGTCACCTGCTGTTGGGGTGGCGGAAGCCTGCAACACAAAACGAGACCGTCATTACCATTTTCCGATCACGTACATTTGTCTAAAAAATTCAGGAATCGTGGCGTTTCATAAATATTGCGGTTAATGGAAATCTTTCGACGAGCAATTTGTCACGTATCGTTCGAAAGTACCTTAAATATTTGTGCGAACGTCCATTTGCGCCCGTACGAGAATTAATGCGAAACCGGTATCAGCCGATTGATCGTCCGTTATGTCATCGAAGGGCAATGTAAAAATAAATGGACGAAGAGAAAGGATGAGTATAAAAAGAAGTTTAGCCGAGGAAAAAAGAAGCGTAAGCGCGATCGGCGAGCGGTGACAACGAGACGGCGCGTAAAAATCGCTCCCATTAAGCCGAACGCGTTTGTGCTCGGCTTTCGACGAGGTTTTGACCCTCTAGCTGGATGAGGGAGAGGGTGACAGGTTAAATCCTCGCCCCGTCCGACCTACGTCAAGGATTTTATTTTCATCAGCGATATTTATCTTCATCCCCGTATCGAGAGGTGGGCCAAAGTCTCCTCGAACGAGGGATGAAAAGGGCAACGTTGAAACAGGGATTCAATACGGAGTCTGGATGAATAAGAGGGTGATTCGTCGATAACGTCCGGACGTTTAGAGGGCGTGTTCTATGATGCTAAATAAGGGAAGAAATACGCGAGTATCAATTTATGTCACCTTTATATTGTACCCGCGCTTCGATTGTTATCAACGAATTGTTTGGAAGCGTCAGAGGAAAGCAATTTAATCTTTTAATTGCTGCTGTATTAATATTTATGATATTTTATTCCGTTCGTTGCGTTTTCACCCGATATCTTATCGACATTTATTGGAGTGCACAGTCGAATCATTACACTTTATTTTACTGTACTTTTTGTGTGAAATTTTCAATGCATATTTATTCATTTTTATTATCAGCTGTGTTAATATTCAAGGTCATTGCATAACATGATTATAATGTAGTAAACAATGAGATCTTTAAATAAATTATAATATTTTATAATATGAAATGAAATTGGAGGACTCGTTAATAAATTTTTGGTTTCCATCATTATCTTCGTCGTGTGTAAGCGTAACTTCATCGAACCGAAACAAAGTATCGGAAAGCTATTGCAAATCTTTAAGGTCAACAAAATCACCCCCGGTAATAGGTCGATTTAAGGGAACCACGGCACAAATGGAACTCGAATTAAGGGAAACACGAGTACCAGCCTCTCGAATCCCCTCAATCTCTCTCCCCAGCGAAACAGAGGGAAAGAAATCATGCTCGAGTGGTCAAAATTTACGAAACAACTTGGCCTGGTTACCCCGTTAAAGGAACTAAGCTCGTTCGGCCAGGAACTAAATCGCTGCTCGCGTTTTCCTCGATTTGAATGGCAACCACCGGGCTTTTGGTCGAAATTTGCGAGGAGCCATGTTCAGTCCGCGTAATTCCAGCCCTATTCTGGTGCCACACCTGCCCACCCCATGGTCCACCGGAATCTTAAGCGGAAAATTCAATATTGGCGCTCTGGGGTATTGTTAAGTTCGTGCCGGTTTTATACCGGTAGCCGCTTAGCTCGTTTTCATTCGTTATTCTTCCATAAGATTTCGAACAAAGAAAGGGTAGATCACGTATAATGCCATTCATAGGTTCTGTTGATCATTTCAAGATAGCGATTCAACCGTGACGCTTGTACGTTCCGGAATTTTTACTTATAAAACGGAGACAGGCTAATTGAGTGAAATGAGTCAATTTTTATTTGGAGAAAAATGTTTATTTTATAACAGATATATTGTTACTACAGAAGCACTATGTTTTCAGAACTGAGACTAAGAAGGTTTATTCATAGAAATTTCATATTTCACATTCCATTTACTGTGTAAAATAAATTGTCGCGACTTCAAAGTAGCATCCTACGTTCATTCATTTTGATCAATTAGCAACAAAAATAACGTCGCGTCAAATTTTTATGAAGACTCTTCTGAAATCCTTTGAAACGCCCCATGAATAGTTCGCAGAGAGCAAGAGCGAATATTTACGAAATAGCATTTCAAAGCAATCTCATCCTACGGAATCGCGAGGTCAGTTCAAAGCGTAGATCATTTTTCTTCTTCCTTTTGCCAATTCCATAGACCGGAAGGTTCTCGTGTTTGTCCCACGGGGTATCATTAAGATGTCTCACCTCGTGTCGCATAACGTATACGTTATTTAACATAGCTCGACAAATACCATAAATAATCGCCAGCTCGGCTCTGGTCGCTTCGCGATCCTATAAACGTCCGCTGTCTCGTATTTCCTCGGGCAGGAAGCAATCAGACACTGCGCAGAGAGAAGAAGAAGAAGGAGGAGACTAGAAAACGACGCAGAGAAAAAATGAAGAGAGACGAACGAAAAAAATGGACGAAGAAAATATCACTGGCAAAAGTCCCGATGTTCGTTGTATCAGTGAGGCAACAGAAGAAACGGGGAAGGGAATACGCAGTAATAAATATTTCTTTTTCTTTGGGATCATTAAGTGGAGAACAGACGGCGGCAGAAAATTAATTTACTAAAAGTATCGGAGCACTCGTCGCCGGGCAAAAACGAACCGACGAAAGAAATTTAACGGCGAAATAATGGGAGTCTTAAAAGTTGGACGACGGCCAGTCCATCTCCGATCGTTCGAATTCAATTTTCAAGTCATTTCACGGGAATTCTTTGTCTGTCTTATAAAAAGAAAATATCTGACAAGGAGATTCGGGAGATTTGGTAACGGGAGCCATAAATGGTTCTACTGTTCATTCTGTATTAGTTAAGGTGTTCTCTCTTTATTTCTTGATATATTTTGCTCTCGTATGGATGTTTCACAGTTTAATTAGCGTGTTCAATGGAACAACATAGGAATTACAAAGATAAAGTTTGATCGAAAAAAGTGTACAGCGCCGATCCATCGAACGCAGCAGCAGGATAACCTAATCCATCGTATCGATTAGGAAATATAACCCAATTTCAGCTTAACTGATTTACTCGCGCAAACGGATTAAGCCGGCTCGAAGAGGGGTCCAGGCAGTTAACGCACCAAATTGCTGCTTACTCCGTTCTTCCGTTGCTTTTCCCTCTGCATCCATCTCGATCTTCTCTCTCCCATCCTGCAGTAGTCGGCCGTCGTCGTCGTCGTTCATCTTGTTTTCAGCTACTCCTACCCTTCGCTTCATTTGTCCGTTACGTGCAATCAGGAATCCGGTTGTTCGCAATGAAACGGCGTACAGCTGTCTGAAGGTTCTTAACCTAAGCTGTATTTATTTGTCTCCGTCGGAAAATTCACGTCCAACCCCGCCCGCCACGTTCGCAATCTCATTAGAAGCTTTATCCGCGCCGCGGGAGTTGATTAGTGCTGCTCGAAACGGAATTGCGTTCCCGATCACGATTAAACGTTCGACGAATCCTGACCGAACAACGCCTTCTTCCCTTACTTTGATTTCTCTTCGATGCATTTGTTAATTGAGCGACAATCCGAAGATGGATGACAGATTTCTGTCACTCTTAATAGGACTCTTTCATCGCGAAATTGCGGGACGCCACTGTTGGACGTTGTTGGAACAAAAGTTTTGAGAAGACGTTTGCAGACAGAGAATTTCTTCTTTACAAGTCTTCCAATAGAACGAAAACTTTTGAAAATATCGAATAATTCTTAATTCGACATCTATACTTGGAGTAAACAATTCCTCTATCATAAATACCTTCAATTTGAATGTTAAAGTTGTTCGAAACTCTTAGTAGTTCATCGTAACGAAGTCAAGAGTCGAAACGATATTCAGTTTTGCATAGTAACATTCACGCTAGTCCTACACCTATAAATGTGTTCTCTCTGGAAATATGTGGCGAAGGAACTAGCAGCGTGCGATCGTAGAAAGCGACAGCAATAACAGCAGCAACAGACGAGTCTTAACGAAGTGGCCAGATCCCGAGTGAAAAGAACGTTTGATGTCTGACCATGGTTCAGAGGCTGTATACGGTCTCGTTATCGAGCGTCCCAAGTAACGACGCGTTCGTTACATCATAATTGGATCACACGCTCGGCCCTATCCTCGGTCCTCGCGGCTCACCCGCTCCAATCTTCCACTCAGACAACACTCGACTCAATATGTGACAGCAACGCCACCTTCAATTACCCTTTTAACTTCCAATGTATCAGACAGCCGGACAATTCCCCTAATCGGTGGTAGGTGTTGTTAGGCGGCAGCGTAGCAACCTGATGGCACGTATCGAGACACGAAGAAGGAAACGTGGATATACGGCGACAGAACCACCTGAAACGTCGAACGTGCCTCGAATTAGAATATTTTGCTGGAACAGCCGCGAGCAGCGCAGGAACGGCGCTGTAGCGAAAGCAGGAATTTTATCGACGCCTCCAGGGATTCCTTGACTCGTGAATTTTGCTCGAACGTGCCACTCCTACTCGTGCTGGGACTTGTCGCGCGATGACGAGACTCCTGTCGCCTCGCGGCACCCCTTGTCGAGAGGGTACATTTTACCGGGGACTAGTGGTTCTTCAAAATTCTTCCTATTTTTCCTACTACCTCTTTGCAATTTTATTTTAAATCCTATTCGTAGATGGTTACTCGTTAAAGGGAGGCTTGATCCGAGGTCATCGATAGTTAGAGCGAGTTAAATATTTCGACGCAACTCGCAGGTTTAATCTGTGTAAAGGTATGTGATAACGTTGCTGCACGTTTCGTTAGCAGATTGCAAATTCCTGTTACAAAATCATTTACCAAAAACGAATCTCGTTACCGAAAATCAAACTTCGGTCCCTGTTACGAAATATGTATTCTCTTTCCATTAACCGGTGTCAGTAATTCCCTCGAAAACTAAGCACTCCTAGCTTTCCAATTGCGAACCACTCTCGTGAAATTACAGAATATTCTGTTCTCGCGCGATCGCGGCACAGAAGCAACAATATGCAAGATGAAACTATGTTATCAGAGTCGACAACAGATTGGATGGACGAAGATAATTCCTTTACCGC